CAGAATCGTTTGCATTGGTGCAGGTGCATCCACTCTTTGTGTTATCTCAAATCTTAATCCTCTGGATTCTTCATCACCTTTATCTTTCTCTTTTTAAGTTTATTTCACTAGACTATACTCCTTGAATAATATCTTCGAACCCTAATCATTTTAATTGCTGCTAATACTCCTACTACCTCTACTATTATCGGATTTGAATCGACATTTGCATCTGTGTGCTAATGTCGCATGTCAACTTGAACTGATGTACATAGGTACGAAGTTCTACATTGTAACTGACTGACTGACTACACTGACGTATTCATTTAATCCAGGATAAAAGTAATTCATTGTGATAATAATATGGCGGAAATTAATAATGATAAATATTTACGTGTCAAACCACCATAATGTCCAAAGTTCACCTATACCAATAATTATTATTTTAAATTTGAAAAAGTGGTTTTAACTACTTGCAAGTAGTTACCCTGTAAGGTTGAGAATTCTCTGATCTTTGCCACAAAACAATCAATCTCAATTTTATCAAGTTCAAGCAAAAATATCCAACTATATGGAGAAATATATCGAAATCACCTTGAACATAATATATAGATATATTTAAAAATAACCAGTCTCTTTTGTTTATCATATAAGGTTATTTATTCTACCTTTGAATAAGTGAACTTCTAATGAACCGGATACATACAAACAATGCAAATCGATTATGACCTCATTAAGGGTCACATTAAGCATTTCAACTTCCTAACTGAAAGATAAGAATTTTTTCCACTAAATTAATTGTTACTTATTAGTTCAGAAAAAGTTATTATAATCAATTGACAGTTAGTTAGAATTCATTTTCAAATTATTCAATATTCATTAGTATTTTTTTTTACATAGTTTATATCTCGATGATAAAATTTGGGCGAATTGGTTGAGAAGTCACGTGATAAATATAAAATACATCTAAATTATCATAAAGTTGAGAACAAAGTAAAAAGAACACCTTCAATTTACTAAGTTATGAAGTTGTTAGTTATTACATGTCAACGATATTAACAAAAACGAAAGTTTCAGTTAGTTGAAAGTTTCTTGATTATATAATTTATTTAATAAGCTTTATTTGTAAGCTTCATTAGGAAGGATAAATAATCTATGCACCTTGAATAAGATAATTTCTCTCTAGTTTGTGAATCAATTCATAATTTTATGAAGAGAGTTATTCTATGTATAATTCATAAATATATCTTAACATTTCTACCGGTGAGCTAAATAAAAGCTCATAAATTACAATCATTGAATTCTTTTGCTAAAAAATATACACTTAACTGATTCAGTGAAGTCGCTAAAATCTTGGTGATTTATTGCAAAACAACAATTCGGGTGTCATAAAACTCTTCTCTATACATAACATTAATCTTTAAGAGAATTTGTTTTTGTTTACGATAGTAATTTTATTTTTACATAATGCAACTTGATTCAATATCAGAAACGTACATTTAAAAAAAAATCATGAGGATTATTTTATTCGTAATTTCTAATGGCGTGATATATTCTTCAAATTTTGAAAATTTATCTGTTTTATTAATGGAAGTTCTACTAAGATGACTCTTAGACACACATATATTTTAATGTAAGAGAAACTTCATTAAGAAATAAAGAGTGATGTACTTAACCCTGTGATAATGTTATAAATACTATTCGCCTTCTTAAATCGAAGCAAATTCATCAGGATTTAGTTTGCTTTCTTTTAATGAGGAGCAATAAACGTTTAGCGCCTGGAGAACTTCGGAGCAAAATATACATTTTGAAAGACTTACATTACCTAAAGTGATACGGTTCGATGACATACTTCGGTATTCGTCTAGCTTTGAAATGACAAGATCGCTTTTATTTCCCCCAAAAAATAATCAAAACAGGATATAAACGTGTTTTTATTGTCAAGTTAAAGGTCTTGAATTGTATCTAGAACAAAAACTTCGTCTTCTAACTTACTGATCGTGATAGCTGAGCCATGATTATGCACCCAATAACTCTGTAAATATCGACCTTTAACGATGTTTCACTGCCAGTCGCATTACTAGATATAATCCATAGTTAACAGTTATCTTCTCAGTTTCTGGCTCTAAGACTCAATGGATAATGCGAGATATTATTAATTAGGTTCCCGGTTGTTACATTATCAGGTCTATCAGATGAATTACAAAGCACTGATAACATATGTGACACAAAATACTAGAGAAATAAACTAGATACTACTTTTCATAACAAATATGAATTCCGGATGCATCACCCGTCCTATCTGGGACCTTTTAGTTGAATACACCTCTAATCATTCTTGGACAAATCCTACTGAAGCATAAAAATAATATCCATACACGAATGACTAAAAATAGACTACTGCCCGAACGTCTACTTTAGTAGTTTAAGTCCATTTTGTTTGGAGAATATTTACTCAAAATTAGTTAATTTCACTATCATCTTGAAAGTACAAAAATGATTTGACAAAATTTTACTCTATGTACGAAGTTACAAGCTCTATTGTTTATTCATACACTTAGCATTTTATTTTGCAACTACAAAAATATTGGTAAACGGTTGAGAAAGACAAATGAAGAAAGGGAAATTTACCAGCAAACACTTTCATGATAAGCATCATCATTTTGTCAAAAACAAAGTCGTGCAAACTTTAGCAGAAGTTGTTATTGTACCTTTTGTTCATAAGATTAGTACCCTTAAAAACCACTTTGCATTTTAAGTATAGACACCCATTATGTGTAATTTACCTACTTTGAACTTGAACTTCAAATTTTTTACCTACTTAGCTCTAATCACAGAAATAAAACTACCTGGTTTAAATGCAAATGTCCAAATTCAATATAGATAATCTTATATTATTCATATTTTCAGCAACATAATAAGACTTTACAATATTCAATGTTATAAAAATGATCCAGATTATAAAATAATGATTTTTGGACCACTGAATGATTACACTTACAATCATTATTTATATCGCTGATTGTGAAAGTAAACTATCATGACTTTAGAAACTGATTAGCTACAAAATTCGGCAGGTCTGCGAATATGGTACAGTATGGACTACAGTTTAAGATCTCATTATTTGTGTGCAAGTAGTTCCATCACTTATGGCAAATACAATTCTAAACCTGGGTGTATTTTTAATCTAACAATTTCTTGACACTCAATCTCAATGACTATTTTACATTTTTGACAAAACGTTTTAATCCGTTAAAGTTTCAACACATGCCGATTAACAAATAACTATACCGCACCTGGACATAACTTTATACTTCTAACCACACTACTTGTATGACCTAGTACTTTAGATTATCATTTTTAGAACGCTGAACTCAAGGTAAATGAACTTTGCTATGTTTTTGAGAACTTTTATACCTCCCCCTACTACACTTCTGATCACAAGATATAATCTGCCAAACCAGTCGAGACAAATATTATTACCACCTAACTATTAGAGATAACATGCAATTTCATCCAAGCATTCATTGTTCATGGAAATCAAGTAAGCTATAGTTCAGCGTGCATTTTTGGGTCCTGATAAATAAGTGTAATTTTGCAAACAGATGGAATTGTTACATATCAAATAAGTTTTCACCTCGTTTTATCGTCCTTTCTTTACATTTTTATTAAAAAATTTGTCATACTCTCTTTTTTAAAGCTATGGCTTTCAAAAGTAAGTAAAAAGAGTTTTAAGGTAAATAATAACTTGTAGTATGAAAGCAATAATCTATCAAGCACAGATTAACTTTATATTAGAAGAGTTATCATAAACAGATACGGTATATTTACACCATAATGCTTTGCATCTGATACAAAACTCTAAAAGAAAACTGGCTAAAAGAAGGTTTCAATTTTTTATGACTACCTTGATATCATTTCGAACAATTATTAGTACCACTGCTTTTGTCTGAAACACTATTACTTTTTCCGTATACACAGAAAAAGTTAAGTCATTTTTGTTAATATTTACATCAGACTATAAAATGAAAGCATAATTTTTTACTGATTTCACTTCCTAAAATTTTCAAGCTCATTTTGTTTCAAAACATCTGTGTAACCCTAAGACAATACTGTTTGAACATATAACATCTCCACAAAAATTTATACTTCCCACTTTTGAAAGAATAATAAAAGAGTTTGGGTTTATATAGAAGTATCTGTATACTCCTTAAAGGAAAGAAAGTAATTAATATGTTTTATCAAGTAGATCTATATTTATTGATCTAAGATGAGTCTAATTATTACATCTGTTATTTTGACAATCTACTTATAATTCCCAAAGTTTTTCTCATTCTACTGAAAATGATACACAGGTGGAAGTAGATTGATTCCTTGTTTAACGACAAATACCTATATTTTATACTACGCTTACGAGTTATGTTCAATCTATTATTGGAACGACATGCGTTTTGGAAAATAACTGGTTTGCAACTATTAAGGCATACAAGCGCAAGCAATTAATAATCAAAGGACAAGGCTGTTGGCCTTACTGATACTAGAAAATAACTTCAGAAAGTTCAAAAATTTGATTTGCCGGTTGCTGCAAAAATAGTTATAAGGTAATTCAAATAGATCTTATTAGAAACTGCACCATTTTTCTAACTCGCCATCTATTAGAATATAACAAGACAACATAAATTTACAGCGAAATCTCGCTTTTGAAAACTTGTTTCTCAAAAGCGGTTAAGATTTATGAATAAAATATATGTGCTTCAGCTTGAATCAAAAATAAAATTATCAGCTGAGCGTACCAGTAAGCATTAATCCATGAACGAATTGTTGAATTATGTATTTTGAAGCTACTATCATAACTAATCTGCCCATAAGTCATAATCAGATTAGATCAAGGACTAAAGAATCTACTGAAAATACTAATAGCACGTGTAAAAGTTCAAACATGAGAGTTCAATTTCTACAGGTTAATAAAAATTGAGTTGTTGCACAGGTTAGAAATAGGTTTCAATAAATTTTAAAATTACCATTTAAAACTATTTGAATCACGCAACCAGAAACAATATCTGAAGTGCTTGTTACTTGTTTATAACCATCAACTGTACTGTCCTTGTTGCAGTAGAGTGTAAGATTATCCACTATCTTAGACTCATCTTGAGCAGATAACTTGAATAGAAATAATCACAGTATTTTAGAAATTTACCAGCTTTTTTACAAATTCTGCGGCTGCCAAATATATATCGATAATTTCAAAGTTTTTTTCAATATAAACACAAGCCTGATACGTCTCAAGCTGTAGGAAAAAAGCTAAGGCCATGCAAACGCAAGACTATAGTTAAAAAAATACTACATTTAACTCAATACCACCTTGACTTTTGAACAGTTCAAACAAATTTGGAGGTACAATTAATTTCGTACTTTGATTTAAAGGCATCATAAGATGCTTTGTTCTTCTTGGTTTATTATCAATACAAACATTTTAAACGTTATTTTTCGGATCGCTTAATTGCATATTAACTCAGCAATCAATCCTCAACCATGTTCACTTCTTGTATATTCTGTCGACCGATAAAACGTAGATCTTAAAGTTTAACCGAAGTCTTTTGAGACTGTATACTTGATGCCTCAGAGCATTAAATGGTAGATAGACTACAATAGACGTGTCAAATGCATATATATATAGCTTCTGTGCTTGGTAATACACTTAATCGGGGAACATTTAGGTGATTCACTTTGGCTGTCCAGAAATCATAATGTTTCCATATTTCGCGGCATATTCCGTGTGTGTCGACTTATTAATCCCTTTCAACCGATTTTTATTCCCAAGTTTTCTACAGAATATATATTCATGAACTTTTTATCGAGCGCCGATCGTCTCCTCGTAACTTAAAAGTTTGAATGTACACCATATGCCTTATTTAGTAACTCCGCATGGAACTGACAGTTCATACTCCAGATAAAGGAGATGGGTTGCGCATCGGGTTAGCGACTGTATCCCTTAAAAAACCAGCCCGTTAAAAAACTCGAACCAGAACAAATTATTCAGCCCATTAAAACTCCACCCTGTGGGTTAGAAAGTCTTCATTTAGCAGAGTATTCACGTCCCATAGAAACATCCAAGTTCTTTCAGAAGTCATAGGGCCAGTGCCCCACAACAACAATCCGTATTGGTACATAGGATGCTCGTATAATTCGAGATTCCTGAAGAACTTGTCAAGTCACTGAGGAAACGATTGACTCTATTTAGGATGTACGAAACGCACTGGATGTAGGCCAGATAAAAAAGACTAGCTACAACGGAAGTGATGTTATACTCCTGCCAGTAAGAAGAGAATTCCCAATCTACTCAAAGAGCTGCATTTATGCTCTCCAGAGAACCAAAAAAGCACTGATATGATGGGAATCTCATGGACTTAGTGTCAGCAAAGTATCCTTCAAAACAAAGAAAGAAGGCACTACCAATGACGACAGTGAAGACGATTAAGATCACTTCTATGAGGAACTGCAGCCAGTCGTCCAGCAATCCCCAGCAAAGAACTTGGCCATTCTGATGGGATACCTAAAAGTCAAGGTTGGAAATGACAACACTTGGTATGAAGACATCATGGGACAATATAGACTACAAGAAAGGAAAGAAAACGCCAAGAGATTGGCAAACATATGTGCCTTCAACAAAATGGTTATAGATGGCACCATATTCTCACATACACAGAGCTACATGGTTTTCACCGGATCAAACTACGCTGAACCGAATCAATCATATTTACATAAATAAAAGGTTCAAAAGGACCATGGAGAATGTGAAAATCTAGAGAGGAGCTGACATAGCTTCAGATCATCACTTGGTTGTGGCCAAAAGAAAACTGAAGTTGAGGAAGCACTGTTCAACTTGGCGAAAATTAACACAAAAGTTTAAAACGGCTTTTCTTCGGAATTCGGTCAAACTCAATGAACTCAAGATAGCTCTCAGAAATAAGTTCCAAGAACTTCACGATATCCTAAATTGTAAGGAAACTACCATGGAGAACAACTTGAAAAGAATCAAAGAAGCATGAATTTCAGCATGTCATGAGGTTTCGGACTAAAAAGAACATCCTTACCGGGAATGGGTCTTCGTTCACACTCTGAACAAGATTACAAAAGGAAGAACAGGAAGTTATCAATCATTCACAGACAAACAAGGGCAGAAAGAGCCCAGGCAAAGCTGAATACACATAAACAAATAAGAAAGTATAAGAAGCAATGAAACTGACGAACGGAATTATGTAGCGGGACAATCACTAACACTGATTAACAGCAAGAGTGACGAGGCTGCATTCCGTAAGGACTGATCATGTACCAACCAGATCAATTTTGGAACAATCGATTGGGTGGTTCTCATCACTCCACATCAACTTCATTGACAGCTAGAAAGCGTGGACAGTGTGTCACTATAGTGGCTTCTTAGGCACCAAGGTGCTCCTGAGGAAATAGTGAGCATCATACTGAATTCTTACCGTGGATTAAACTGCAAGACTGTGAATAGATTACAGCTCACAGGCTCAGAGAACGAAACTCTATCAAAGTCATGGCGTTTGACTAATAATTGATATCCACGCAAACAAACCTGAAGAAGACGTCCACTTTGTCCTATGTAATGTATTTTCACAGTCTGAACAGTTTGTTTTGTAGCCGATATTTAGTTCTTTGTTCTTTGTTCTTTGTTTTACATTGGATTGATCGAAGTGATTCTATTGTTTGTGTGCTACACATATTCCACATGGTTTCAGTAGTTGTGCTGTAACTTCCGATTGTCTTTTGTATATGGTAAGATGATCTGTTTGTTATTTCGCTTCTGTTAGTGGTTGAGGTTGATATTTTATTATGAAGTCTCATGGATAGCCTGTAGAATTCATTTTGAAGGCTTTGTTTTGGGAAAATCCCTCCATGTACATATTTGTTATATGTTCTTACTGACTCTTTCTGTGCTATATTTTGGAGTCTGTTTAATCCCATTTCGGGATGTTAATATTTGTATTTTGTTATAGTTTCTATTTTCGTACCTTTCTTGGAGTTTCTATGTTTCCTGCTGAACTGTATTATGTTGTTTAAGTTGATACTTAATTATGGCTTCAGCCATATCGGATTTGATACCTTGGCGGGTAAAATGTGCATCTGGACTGCAAGGGTGCAATTTGGATTGTAACGGAAACACATTTTGTTATTTTGGACGGAAAACAGTGTAATATTGTTAAGGTAGTTATCCTTATTTCCCTCACCAATAACTTAAGCGTTACTTACTCCGATAAATTGCTCTCTTTTTGGGCAGAGCGCGTATCTAAACTTCTAGAACTGTATTTCCGAAATCAGAATCCACTGTGGATTCTGCATAGCCGTTCTTCTGAACGATGGTCACCAGAGTTTTTTTCATTTTTCGACCTTCAAGTGTGCTAGTCTTTTCGCTCTCTCGAGAAAGCTTTGTACACAGCTGATTTGTGTGTTCTTCAATTGTTGCTACTGAAGATGAGAATTAAATCTGTGTGGTTTGGCTTCCGATATACTTAGGTTTCGACTTGTCCTGTGTCAGTTCTAGTGGTTGACAGATCCAGCAATGATAAATTGTCATCTGACTCTTTTTACATTGTGAATTTTATGTCATCAAAGACGTAGTTGGTCAGAATGTAGGTGTTCTCCAGCTTGTCCTTTCTTATGATGACGATGTTGTCTACATAATAAACCCATATTTTGGGCCTGATCACTGGTAAAACGAAAGCATCATGGCTTCTGAAGCAGGTCCTGAAATTGGTGATCCCACTGGTGTTCCTTTCGTTTGCTGGTGGATATTTTCATCAAATTTCAAATACGTTGTCAAGCATAAATTGGTGAGTCCTAATAGACTGATTCTTCGGATACTTTGGGAGATCTGCGTTGTCAGTGAAGAGCATTGATAGAGTCTCTTTTTGTAGGCTTGGTTCGACTGAGATGGATAAGGCTGTTACATCGAAGGATATCATCAGCTCGTCGATATTGATTTGAATCTTAAGTTTATTCAACAGTTGTATGGGAGAGAGAGTAGAGTTACTGACCAGCAGTCATTGATGCTGTAGGAGATGACTTAAATCCACTTATGCTTGTAGGGAAGAACATTTTCTTTGCTTTCGGCTCTTTTTGATTAATGAGGCAACTAATCAGTAATACTGAGGTTTTTCTCATACGCTTGTTACTTCTGAGAACTATGTCTCCTGTAATATACTGGAGTCTCCATTCCGTTGAGACAACCCGCAACATGCTTACTCAGGCACTTAGAGCATTACTTAGAGGTTGGCATTTAATAAACCGAAATGCTGGACAATGAAAAATTTATTGATCAATGTTTTTGACGAACTTTACTCTTCTTACTGAACTTTCGGTTTCAATGTACAAACATCCAGCTTCTTACTTCAACTTCTATTCACTTGACACACCCCACAGTCTTTCCTTCTTCATTGCTGTACTCCTTAATTTTTGGGCTATATTACTAAAATTTACCTAAATTTGCATGAGCATAACCTGCCTTTCCGAAACCCATTTTGAGGTTCCTAGACTCCGCCTTTAAAAACTGAGCAAAGAGTACCTTGAAAGAGTAAAAACTGAAAGAGTACCTTGTTTCCATTCAGCTGCGAGTTGGTGTAACTCCAATGAATGCCTGAACAGGTTACATACCAGTGAATTGAGGGCTTCTACACAGTTTCTAGACTATAGGGCGAATATTGTCACATCCTAGTGACTTTCCTAGGTGCAACGGTTCTAGTCTTCTTAGTATCAAGTCAGGAGTAGGTCGGATATTCCCTAGGCCGTCAGCTGAAACTAGGTTTCAGTAGTACTTGGTTTAACTGATCGGTGACGTTGGCGTTAAAGATCTCAACCATCTCTACGTTGGTGAATTCTTCAATATTCGGACCTTTGAGGACACAAACACCTTGGTTAGTATGTTTTCTTTCGTTATTAACCAAAACAGATATTTTGAAATTGCCCGTATTTAGGCAGCTAGTTTCGTTTGCCCCCCATCAATTCGAACCCTAACATTACATCCGTTTCTCAACGCCAAGAAAGAACTACGGACAGAATTCTTCAGAGAGACCTAGTACTTGTGCCAGACCCTCCCTTTTGCCTGTAACATCCAGTCCGTCTTCTCCCATGACCTCATGAACTCAAGACATTTTCCTGTGTCTTTTTAAATTTATTTCATTAGATTGTACTCTCTGAATACTTTCATTGAACCCTAATCTTTTTGGTAACCGCCAGTAATTGTACTACATGTAATACTATGGTATAGATAGACCAACAGTAATAATAATCATAATTTATTTTCAAATAACATCAATATAATTATCAATTTTTTAAAAACTGTACTCTTCTTCTTGAAACGTACATCCAGCTCCTTACTTCAAGTTCTACCCACTTGACGCACATCATAGACCTAATATTGTTGACTTGTTATGATGATATGACTCCCTAATCTATAAGATCTTAAGCGGATACATTATAATCGATACTGTTTCGTTCTATCGTGATGTCCAGCAGTATGCCTTTTATGAATCTTAGAACAATATATGTGGATGGAGAATAGAATAATATATGCAATATAAACAGGAGATTAAATAGTGGTCAAAACTACAGGGCTGAGCCATACCGTCCCGTCCAGGTATTCCTGCTTTCACCTTTGCTTACCATTGCCAAGTAGTAAACTTCAAGTTTGGTACTCAAAGACATTGCTTAGGAGCCCATAATACTACACTCTTACAGAATAGAGCCATTATTCGAACTCATATGCACCACCTTAATATTCATCTACGAAATAATAAATGGACTCGCATTTCTAACCTCCCATTCAATTATGATTCATGATCCTGCTTACAGACTCAGAAGCAATGCATGTACCTTACTGTGGTGGACCAAACAATATATTATTTCAAAATATCAACAAAGTTATTGAATACAAACAGATGTATATTGAAATATATCAGTTAAATGTAATAAATACAATAAAAATGTGGGGACGTTACTTTATACAGCTGCTTGTGCGTGTTCGGTTGTGTTTGGTATTATAAATCCACAATTATAGAAATGTTAGTGATCCAAATGGTGTAATTATCCGTAGAGTAGCATATACGTATGACTGCAGTCTATAAACGTAGACAATTTACGTATTAGAATCCAGATAGCATGTTAATGAACGATTGAGAACATGAGATGTGTATATAAAGTGTTTTTGATAGGATACGGCAGTGAGTGCCGTGCCATGTGTACAATGAACGGAAGCTGGGAGCAGTATATACGCCTGATAAATTCAAGTACACACACTTAAACAAAATATACGACAATTTCATAGTGAATGTACAGGCTGTGAAAATTAACAAAATAAATACAAATAGTATCAAAAACTATTTACAAAATAAGTTTGTCATGCCATCTCCACATTACTAACTGCAAAATGCAAAAGGTCAATGCATCGTAATTACTCTACAGCACGGTACAGTTTAATGTAAAACAGACTGCTAATATCTATTTGTAACTGACACAATCACCAAGTTCAAAAAATTAGTCATGCTGTTGTTCGGCTCTCGAAAGATTTAACAACTATTTCCAGAACTCCCACCCAATCCCGAAGTACTCTTTATTGGTCCTTCTAATATCCAGACGTATCTTCGAAACTATCGACAGACCATGAATATATTGCACCCCGAATGCCATTTATTCAAGCATCATCAAACGGTGGACATAAGATTTGCCTACAATAATCTTTCGATGTGGCTAAACAAGATTAGACCAGAGTAAATGCAGGAGCCATATGAAACAAAAGTATGAAAACTGTCTATTAATTTCATATCCTTGTGAGAATTTTGTAACAACTTACTTGTCATAACATCATTTTCTATGCTGATATTTGGCAGTGTTTTTTTATACAACAGTTATTAGTTGGTCAGAAAGTTATCGTGCCTACTGTAGCCATTCATATTTTCTCGAAAACTCTCATTGTTCAACGACCCGTATCGTTCGATTTTAACTGACAATAGTATCTGCTTAAATCAACAAAATAAGAAAAGAAGGCAAAGCTAAGTGGCTGATCAGTGAACAGAGTGATAAAAACTATCACTTTAAACCCCTATCGGCAACGAAGAATATCTTGAATGCTTCAAACTCATTATTATGGTTTGAAACGGAAACAACTAACTAGTGTTAATAACGCCTACCCAATATCATTTATTGTTTTGACCGAAGTATGCAAACACATATCGAAATTGACTAATCATCAGAGCGTCTTGCTGAATGCATGACGAGAATCTGTGTTACACACTGTCTACCAAATTTTTACTTGTAACTTCGACTATTTGTGTCCGATAACTTATATGTTATATCTCCCTTTAAATTTTGAATGGATGCAGCCACTGTGAAAACCAACTCTTCGGATCCGACAACTTCATTTTTCCTTAGCAAAAATACTTGTCCATCCTAAAAAAACTGTCAAGCGATGATTCCGCAGATTAAGAAGATACTGATCTAAAGCCCTTCCGAACAAACTACACAAAAAACAATTAAGAATGACAGCCGTAAAAACGGATAATTTTTTTACTAACAGAATGTGAAAGGAAATAGTAGGAGCAAAGACTGGTCCATAACTCAGTTCGTTCTGGTTACCATTAGGCTATTGATCGTTGTACACACTCATTACTCCCCGTCATTATGAAGAAGTACGTTTCTTTTGAGTGAATAGGTTCATGAGGAGTTATTTGTGTTTTTAAAGTCTTCTATGAAATTGTGTAACTTGATATCTGTTCTAGAAAACGCCCAAAATTAAGTAAAAAAACCACTAAAATATGTTAAGCTATAAAAACATACTTAAACACATAATTGCACGTCACAATGTCCAGTTATGTTTGCTCATGCTAACTTAAGTCACTACTGAATCTCTTATTCTTGAAAAATACCGAATATACCTTTTTGACCAAAACCCGCCAACTATATTACCAAATGTATTTTCAATACTTCCCCAAATATTCTGCAGTTAAAACCAATCATATTCAAACCAACCAAATCTCTACAAACCATGTAATTGAATATATGCAGTATTATTTCTTTATATTACTAGGAGTAACAGTTTCCGTTGACTTATGCTACGTTTTCTTTCTGTTTTTATTCAACTTTCAGCACTGTATTTATCTCTACAATTATACTGATCAGATCGAAAATGAACGTGTTTACTAAACTCGCCACTTTTTAACCAACATGTCTGTAGTGAAAAAGTGGTGGGACAAAAATGATACTACTGCGAAAAGGTATTCGTCTGTCGATATACAGCCTATTGATGGGTATTTACAAGAGAAATTCTCTCATGGAGTTGACTATAATAGTATGTTTGTGAATTAGCATAAAATTAAATCATTTAATTCTATCATTTTATTTTCTCGAATTTATAACATACTAATTCACTAGTTTTGATTCGGGCCGACTGGAGTACCAAATCATTTAAAATAAAATCTCAGTCTATATTTATCTTTAGCTTCGTAAAAGTTCTTTAAAGGTCCGAATCATTCGGATGGCTTCAAGGTTTCCACTATGTTGTGTACTTGTGTTGAAATTTTGAGATCTTCATAATCGAATCAGCAGTTGTCGAAAAAAACAGACTAGTTATTAGCCTTGTTTAACACCAGCTCCCATTCAGAATGTTTCTATAAGCTTCCCATCAAGCACGACTTCGGGACGCAACCCGTCATAGAAGTTCCGTATGATGGTAATGACTTTGTTAGACACTACATAACGCTGAAAATCCCACAAAGTTTTACTATCATAACCGGTAAATGCTTTCGCATAATCACGAAGGTTAATATGTAGAGGCGAGTTCCATTGTTCAACTGTGATCCGTATTGTTGCGATTTGATTAGTCCACGATCTATCCTTACGAAAATCGGCCTGTCGATCTCGCAAATGGGCGTCTACCGAATCTTTCATTCTGTTCAAAAACACTGTGGAAAACGTTTCTGTGTATCAATGGTAGTGTGATGCCTCTGTATTTCCCACACATACAAAGATCCTTCGGTATAATGATGAAGTATCGCTCTTTTGAGTGTTATGGCACTTGTTATGCTTCCCAAATTTTTCTGAAGTCAATGTGGAATATCTTTTCAGGTACCTCAACATCTGACTTCTGTGCCTCAGCTGGTATACTGTATGGTCCTGCCACTTTGCCACTCTTGATTTATCTGATGACCCTTCTGATTTTTATTGCTAGTGAAGTATCATCTTTAAAAAGGTCTGTATATGCTGCTTCCATGTCCGGTGGGTCGTGTTATTCTTGGACCTCAGTGACTGGCTAGCCTTTTACTTGACTAGTTACCTCGGTTTACTATATTCCGCTTCTAGCTTCTTAGTCATAACGTATAGTTCTCTTATATTTCGTTCTCTAACAGCTTTTTTTCTCTAGTAATCAGGTCTCCTACATATTTCTGCTTGTCAACTTCAACGCTCTTTTTCAACCATTTGTTTGCTTCTGTATATTTGGCCTATGCTCTGACTTTCTCTACTCTTGCTCATCTGTTAGTGACTGCTGTTTTCTTATCCCTCTCTTCGTGAATCTTGCTCAGGCTATCTTAAGAAATCCACTCTGTATGCTAGTATTTCTGCTTTATCATCTCTTAGCACATTAAAACTATTGCTTCTTTAACTCATTTCCAATTGTCTTCCATAATAGTCTTCTCTCTTAGTAGATCTTGTAAGGCTTGAGGCTTGTTGAAAATCATTTTGAACTCGTTGAGGTTGTTAGTATTTTAGTGGTGACCAAGTCGAGATTGACTATGATCACCACTAAATGTTCCATACTATCTCATCACGTAAATCAGAAACAAATCCATGTTCGAATATTTATTGAAGGAGAAAGTAGACAATACATAGAGAGCAGCACGTTATGAAAAATGGCAGCAACGCGAAAAGAACGTTGCACACAAGAAAGTGTTTTTGGTACAGTTAAACAAAACGAGTACAATGACAAATGTTTATTTTCCACCAATCGCGTTTTCTTCGTAGAAGTGTTCCACTACAGTATCTCAAAGGAAGGTTGTATTGAACTTTTGAGTCGCCGCTTATCTCATTGCCTAATGTTTCTTTAGTTTCAGTTTGACCACTACCAGGTGATGATCTGAAATTATATCAACTCCTCTCTTTGTTCTTGTGCATTCAACGGACCTTCTAAATTTTTTACTCATGCAAATCGGACCGCTTTAGTTATCTCTATTGTGTTCAAGCGAAACTTATATATCTCCCTTACTGAAAACAGATTGATTTACCATGCTCGTTTCGATCTCTAGGATGGGGCACATCGTTTCATAAAAAGGGTTCTTATCATCCTCCTTAATTTTTTTAATAATGCGTATCTGTGGCTAAAATTTGTTGGTTTACTTTATTTCACTCCATAATACTTGGAAATTCAACGTAAATATAATCAATGCATCGTCATTCATGGACATTTTAGAGTATTGGTTGCATATATTCGGTCAATCAAAGCGATCAATTCTGTGGTTAGACACGGGATGGCCAGTAAAAATGTCAATTTCATCAACGAAGCTGCAAACCTTAGTCAACTGAGTTGGTTAACACATTCTGTATATGCCTAGCCACTGCTTACTCTGATATCCAGTGTTAACGAACATAGTAGTCGATTAGAAGAAAACTATCAGTAGAAAAAGAAAGCCATCTAATCAGTCTGCAAAGTTACTGATCATTGATCCGAGCCATGTTGGTAGGTGCTAACTTTCCTAGTCGGGGACGACCTCATAATACTTGTCATCAATGGAGTAAAATCAGTTATAATGCCTCAGTAAAATTCATTCTTTGATTTTAAGTGCCCCAATGAACTTTATTTCTCAACTTATTTTTTATTATTTTCGATATCATCTCAATCCTATGGGAAATTCGATGCATATATATGTGGTAAAAAGAAATTTCAACTACTTATTTTTTTTAGTGAAAATTGTTATTCGTGGTGATCGTAATGTTGGGAAATCTACTTTACTTTCACGTTTAAAAGGTGAACAATTTAAAGAAGAATACATTCCATCCGATGAAATTCGAGTAACTATTTTTTGTTTGCTATTTTCAGTAAACTAATAACGTACTACTTAAAAAAGTAGATAGAATATTATGGTTAAATATTTTTAATCAAGTTTAAAAAATGATATGAGCAAAGTTTCAAACTATTCAAAAACATGATTAAATCATGATACTGATTTTTTAAGTAACTTATAAGTAATATATTAATCGTTTAACTATCAGATGCAAAGTCATATAATCAATACCCCATAATAAATCTGAAATTATTTGTAAATAATTTGCCTATATTTAATATTAACCAAGTGTAAATTACTTTCACAAACAGAAAGGACGTTGTTTCCAATATCATTCACCTTCATAAAAGTTATATAAGTAGTTCTGTAAATACCCTTTTGAAATTAGCGCATTATGTTTATCTTCTCGCAAACCGAAGCGGTTGTTAAAAGTCAGTTCTACAGTTGTTGTATATGTTCAGCTCTATTCAATAGTTAAAAATCTCTAGCTTCTCATAGTTGCTAAATTCACTAACTCATTAGCTTTTCACGCATGCATTATACATCTAGTTCAGTGATTAAGCTGTGTAATGAATAATATTAGATCGTGGTCACTTTTCGTACGATACTGGCTCCAGTAAGTTACTGACTTGTTTCTTCTTCATATTATCTTCGCATTTCACCGAATGTCCACTTTTGCTTTCTTGTAATATTTAGCTTAGTCGCATTAACCTTTCATCACTCATGGTTTTAATATCCATTATACATAGAGTTCATTAGATTTTTGGAAATTTAATGACTATAGATTTTTTTGTTGAATGTGTAGTCTCAACCTTATGAGAAAACTTTGCAATACGTCCACATAACCGCTACCTACTTATATTCTATAATACTTTTTAATAATTAAGTCATCTTTAAATTAGTTCTTAATAGTATTATTTTACTACTTTTTTTAAAAATTTTTTCTTTGTATAAATCATACTAAATTTGCAATTGACTGTATCTTTTGTTCATTCTATAGTTGGCTAACATTCATTGGAATCATCAAAATTCTCAAAGTGTAATTAAAGTAGAAGTTTGGGATGTTGTTGATAGAGGCAAACCTAGGAGTAGTGTTTCGAAAGGTTTTAAACTTTTCAACAAATTAACAAAAGGTCCACCTGGTATCAATATCAGTGGACCAGCTGTGAGTTTTTATTTGCTTAAATTTTCAATGTTGTCCCAATTATTAGTAACTATGTGTTAAATTGTGTCATTTTCCTTAGTGTAATTAATTCATTTAGTATCGATTCAAACTTACTAGTAATCATCACTGTAGGTTCTGTGTTTGATTCCATATGACGGAGTTGTAAATGTACACTACTGAGGGGTCACATACGAGAACGAAATGGTCATCTAGTGTTTCAAGTTTTTCACTAGAAATCTATTAAAGATCAATCCATGATATCTGTATATATCTGTAACGTTAGATAAATAGAAGCTTCATCAAATATTCGTACTTGTATCACTTGTTATAAGAGTCAGACACTTCTGTCGACCTATTCAGGATATATTTAAACTCGTATTTAGATTAGGATTTAGTACCTAATAGGATACCTTGGTTAAATAATTGTATAACTTGTATTCTCGAAACCATCGTCATATTAATAAGGTTGCGATATAGCAAAGAAATATTTACTTCAAGAAGGGTCCTACTTCAAAAAATTCTCCGTCCTATTCAGTTTGGTAATCATTTTAACTTATAGACTGATTTGATTTATATTATAATCGGTATTGTCCTTAAGATGCATAATTATAATTCTGTTGCATCTAACAAATTCCTTTGTAAAAACCTATGTCAAACACAATTAGGTTTACATCGAAATTTTTAAAATTTATCATGCTCAAATTAAGCAACCAATCTGATCTAGCCTGAATAGAATAGTGTATGTGTCAGGAATTGTGTTCTGGTATAAGCGTAAATCCGTATAACATATCTACTACTAATAATGATTAGGAAGTAATGTATAATTTAAGGAGAAATGGTATTTTATTTCCCACGGCAATGATTTAGATTTTAAATTGCCATCGTCTTTTGCACTTAAATACCTGGTCAAAGTGTTCTAATAAAATAATTTTATACTCTCATTATTCATTTCATCGCATGTTCCTTATTGTTAGTAGGAACTACCTGCAGTTTGATATGGGGGTACTTGGTACTGAATACTTAGCTACTGGATATAACTTACTTCAGCCGAGGAAAGTCTTTTAAGAATTGAATGCCCAAGTTAGACTAACTCTACTCCAAATAGACACCAATTTTAATTGTTATGAACTTAGAATTTTATCATTATGTTTGATAAAATTACGCTGTATTTCCTAAAAACTTCATTATTCCAATACTTTAATCCATAATGATTCTCTGGAGCTAGATTACAACTGCTTTTGTAAAATAAATCCATTAAATAAATTTTATTTCCTAAACTTTATAAAATAAAAGTAAGATCCTCTGTTCAGTATCTTATTCCCGAAATAAAGTCATTTAAAATCCAACTACTGATATGTATGTAAGTAGCTTCAGAAAAGTAACATAAATATTTATGGTACTCTGTGAGCCTACCACTTTATCTTATATTAGTTCAACCTCGTTTTGCATTCCTTTGAAGAGCTTAACTTGAATGAATAGTCAGTGGGTTCATTTAACATAAATTTTTTAACGTTAACAAATTCAGAACATAACATGTATCGACAGAAAAGGTATCTTACAGAAGATTTCATGACAATACTGTTTGAGTGAAGTATTTGATTAGAAATAATTATAAAAGTATAACAAGACTGCTAAGAAATTCAGGTTTTTTCCTATCTCTATCTAATTTTGTATTAAAAATTCGTGTTTCCAACCTCATCATCATTTATTGATATATGTACGTACTCTAATAAAACTCAAAGTTCAAACAGTTCTCATTATTTGCTCTCACACACTACATTTTCCTTTAGATTTTGTTTGTATTCGTATTACTCTAAGTAAGTGTCCAAAAATTTTTGGAAAACCTCTTTTCTTTCAATGCTTAACTCAGCTTTCAACCTTTCAATTAGCTATATAACCACAAGGCCTTTCACTTCTTTCACCTTGGAACTAAGTTCCATAGGTTGACTTACATTAAATGTTTGGTATTTAGACTATAAGTAATCTGTTCAAATCCAGGATTTCATTCAAACTTCCTTCGAATATATGACATGATATATACACTATACCATAGTATGATTCCACTTCATACAGTCGCTAAATGTATTTGATTTATTTAATACGAAGGATTTAGACCAGTACTTTGACTCCTAGAATTCTTTTTCCATTCACAAATCTACTGTTCAGGTTTTATATTCACATATTCATGTTTCAACCTTTTACTCTGTCACAGGGGAAAATTGAACCATGTCTTGATGCAAGTTTTATTAATGTCTACAAAGGTGCACATGGTGTTATCTTAATGATGGATATGACAAAATCATCGTAAGTTCAAAAATATTTTGTTTTATATATTCAAATTATTTGTTAAATATAATAAGTGCATTTACAAATTCAGCTGCTCCTGTGGAGATAGCTTTATCGGGCGTACTACCAGGCGACTTAACCAACGAATGAGTGAACATCTCCCAGCATCGTTTAAGAAGAGTCGGTCAAAAATAATACGCAGTTCGATCTTAGCACACTTGGTTGATAGTGGTCATATTGTAGATAAGTCTAGATCTTTTCGAGTGATCTATCGTATACCTCAATCACTTCCCAACGGAGTTCGGTCCCGTCTCCTACAGATAGCAGAAGCCATAGGAATTCGTACATTCAACCCCAATTTATGTGTTCAGAAGAAATTTGTGACACCCATATCTCTTCCGTGGCCGAATATGACGTAACTAATGCTTGACATTATATATTTTTTATTCTTATTTCATTTTATTTTTATTTTTACATGTTTGCTTATTAAGTAATGGTTTTGATGTTTTTTTCAATGTTTATTTGAAGTCTATTCATCCACATTTGACCTACTATTGATAAAACTTTAGTTATCATATTTTATAATTTTCTTATTACTATCAGTAAACCTGCCTTCCAACTATCCACTTGAACTTTTGCCTATTATATGTAGTTACGTAATATTTTTCATTTCATTGTGATTATCACTCAAATTGCCTTGATCGGTTTAACATTATCATATAAATATTCATGTATATTAGAGTAAAGCCTGATGACGATCTAATCGAAAACAATATTGTTCGCTTATATGTGTTGTTCTAGATGTAATATCGATTGTTTTGATATGCAGATCAATTCAGATATCTCTTCGTTTTCATGCAATTGGTTGTGTGGAAAAAAGGAACCATCTAGAATTATCAGACTGTTCACAGTCATTTTAGTCTCAGTATATTTATCATGGTGGTTATGATATTGGTATTTTAAACAACCACTTCATAAATAGACCAGTACAGTCTGAAATTATATGAAGATATTCGTGTCTACTGTAAAAATGATTTGAGTAGTATACTGAATTATTCGAAAATACTTTCTCATATCTCGAAAAATTAACGTATCAAAGAAGGTCATAAAAGCAAACGTTTCATTGTGAATCTTTAGTACTTCCTTTTTATTATGCATATATTTCGATCAAAAATCTTATGTACTGAATACTCACTAAACTAGGATTTGTTTCTATACAAGTAGTATGTTGAGTGTGTTTAAAGTTGATCGAGCAGGCTCATAGTGACTCGCAAACGACAATTTTTTGCATGTAGATATATTTTACATGTTACATTGATCAAACAGGTACATCATCTTTCTTAGTAAGACAGATATCGATGTTTTTCTCATTTGTAACTACCCATTGATGATTATTAAACCTATTATAGAAAGATGCTTTATTATCGACTAAGAGCTAATTCATGTAGTTAATTTTCAAACAACAACACTCCTTGAACTGTAGAATCAGCAAGAGAATCAATGAAAACTATGGAACATCAAATAATTGATTCGTTCAGAGAATCACAGACATATATAGATCTAAATAAATTGAAAAAAATAATCTCTTCAATTCTTATGGTGAGCATATTTGTTCCGTTTTTTTTATTTTGTTAGTACATATCAAGAACTAGTCATTATATTTAATCCCAACTTTTACTTTTATTTTCCATAATGATTATGTCTTGAATTCAAGTTTATTACCAACTTCCTGTCGAGTATATATATTTTCAAATTCACTGGCCTAAATCAGAATTACATATCTAGATCAGTAGTTCTACGCACGATTGGGTTCGTTAACAACAGGATTCAACCAAATTATAACAACATAAAATTGTCCAGTGTTGATTATGAGAACAGTAAAAATAGAAATATTGACAACAACAAAGATGATGTGAAATTATCAATACAGAGATTTGTTGCTGACATCAGGAACCGCAACTGTTTCATCCTAATAGGGGACTCCTTAACAGTATACACACAGAACCCCATCGCAAGGGATCATACTCAGAACATTTGATCTAGACCATTAAGCTGATATCCAATAATGTCAGTCAGTCAGTTAGTCAGTTCCTTCGGAAGTCATGAGGCCGATGCCCCTTCTGACAACCAGAGCCCTTCCACAGTGTAGGCAGTCGGAAAGTAACATCTGCTCTCATACATTCGGTCACAAACAAATCCTTCCTACACCACCTATCCAATAATGTACAAGTTTAATTTCAATCAATTCACCACTAGATATAGCTGCGATCTTCCATTTTCTTCCATGTATAACTATCTCGCATTTGGACACCATTGATCATGGCTTCTCAGTTCAATATTAGTCTAATTATCTTACTATAAACACGTTTTTTTCTTAATAAACACAATTTGAATTGAACTGAACTAAATGTGCTGATATTATTTTCGTTAATATAATTGCTACTAACTCAGTTATGACTTATCTCTTAATTAGATGAATACCAGATATATGTTATAAAGTAGAATGATGTTTAACACTAATGATTACTCATTTATTATTATTATTATTATTATTATTATTATTATTATCATACTTGTAAGATATACATTGAATAATGCACACAACATTCGCACACTTCATATGTGTTCATTACAGATAAATTAATTACGCATTTGTTATTATCAATCTTGAGGTCATGTTTTTAATAATATTTATTATTAATGTAAGAAAACAGGTCAAGTTTTATTATAAACAAATCGGTAATACAACCTTATATAAAGATGTATAACAACATATTGATTTTCTAGATCGATTAACTTTTATTAACACTTTTCACTAGTAGTATTTATCATTTATGAGACTTAACCTTGGAGAATTAGCCTATATTCTGTTAACCAGACCAGCGTCTTTAAATTAATATTAAAATGATGAAATTGCTAATATTTTTAATGTAGATGAAGTTTATGTAGATGATTGTTTAGTGTATAGATAACATCATGAACTGACTTTGGCTCTAGACAAAATTATTGAAAAATAAGAAACAGTGAACAGATGTTTCCTACTAGTCTGAGACTTTCTAACAGCATATAGTTTGAACTGTACACTGCTCATAGATAATTTCCGTTGAACAGTTTGTATGTTGCAGATTTTGTTCTCTGACACCAAACAGCTCCCAAATGACCAGGTAAGGTCGAGTTTAGGCAGACTCTAATCTCCCTCTCCAAATGCTCTCAAATGACCACTGCCACGAAAGTCACCAGTCAGCTACAACGTGACACTTCGTACGTAAGTACATCAGTTCAAGTTGCCATACCAAATTAGCACAGAAAGATGGAATTATCAATTCAAATCATATAGTAGAGGAGAGGTATCAGCGGTAATGGAGAAGATTAGAGGGAATCAGAAGAATTTGAGAAAAGACAAAGACTGGATGCATCCGCACCATTTCAAGCAATTTTGAGACGTATTATTCCAATTATCTCACCTTGATTACTATCATCTCATGAATCCCAACCAGGTAGTCTATTACCTAGTCCCTTTGTCAGTGACTTTATGTTTTGGTCGTCCCTCGCTTCCTTCCAGCCTACCCCTACCCCAGACAACATCCCTCGTCAAGGTAGTCGGTGGTTAGGTATACGTAACATATGTTCCGACGACCTCAACCGATAAAGTTTCACTACTTCATCAATTGATCTTCCATCTTTATCTAGTACTCTATTCCTAACCCCAACATTGCTTACTCGGTGGTCCCAGGATAGATGAGCAATGTTCCGAAGACACCTATGATCGAATACTCGTAACCTACAAATATCTTCTAATCCTAGTGACCATCTTTAAATTAGGACAGAGCGAACTGCTGCACAGTAATCTCATTCCTTGGTCAGTAGACGGATATCTCGTCTACGCCTCAAGTGACACAAGTTGATATAAGCCAATTGAACCTTCTGTATCCGTGCCGATGCAAGCCAATCCAGAAGCAACATTTTGAATTTCGAGTGAGAGAATTGCACTCCCACCAGACTTGCATTGTTGCTTGAAGTAGTCAGAAGACTGCATTTTGTCAGCGTCTTCATCTAATAGAACGCTACCACAGAAGTTCTACTCACTGTGTTGTTTACGAAATTAAGAGGACTTAAAGTGGAATACCCGGCACTTAAACTCTGTTTGGTAGGTGCAGAAGATCCATCGATGTTAGATAGAAAACCCTGATTTCAAACCACTGGTGCACATGGGCTCTAGGAACCTGAGGGAACACATGGCATATGAATCTAATATTGGTTGCTGGCTCCCACAGAATTTCATCTCCTACTACTGCTCCATTACTATATGGGTTGAATCTTTAGGTCAATGTGTCAAAGAGTGGTTTGTGTGGCGCATGAATATGTTGGCGCTTCCTTGCACTAATTTTTATGCGCATAACTAAATAAATAAATAGTACTTTTCACAAACTTAATTAAATTGAACTGGTGTGCAGCGTATCATCTAGTTCCATAATCAGTCGTGAATGATGAAAATTCATCCATAAAAATGCTTATGTGATGGTCACGTGCTGAATAGAGTGGAACATTTAAACTGGCTCATTGTTCTAAAGTTTAATCGTTCATGTGTAAAACTTAGGGTCCTGAGTTCTATCCCGTTTGGTGAGATCGTGAATGCGCACTACTAAAAAGTTCCATACCAGGACGAATCAACTTTCCAACGCTTTTTGGTTTTAAATGTTTATCAAACTAAGCTCAGTCCATGACCTTAACTATGCATTTCAAGCATCTTCACAAACCCGTTATAGTAAATAAAAGGATTATTTCTTTTCGTAGTATTTTTTTCTAAGCTTTATCGAAATTACCATTAAATATTCCACTGTCTGTGCATTTACAAACTATCATAGAAAAAGAAACAAATACGCACATAATAATTATGGCAAAAATCAATAATCCAGTAGTGTTTATGGAACAAAAGTAAAGGTAGAAAATTCAAGGTTAACACTGGTCAGTCAATCAGCGAAGAGATAAATATCCTGGACAAAATATTAATGATTCATCTTAAATGATTTGGTGTAGACATTAAAAAGAACAAACACTTCAATAAACTTGGGCTGGGCAGACTTTATATGTGAACTTGATGGGTTTTCTGCAAAAACATAAATATATTGATTTGATTTTTGTGATGATAACTTTGACCAGTGATGTTTACGCTTACTATTAAGTTAAATTATCAAAGAAAAGTATTTCATGTTATAGTGAATTACACAACTGAAGTGTCAGGCAGTTGTTCCGGTGTATGAGTTTAGTGATTCTTACTATACATATATGATATAATCATCTCACACGTACGAGGGTCGTGGATGCTCACTGCCGATGAGTCCTATACTAGGACGAAACGACCATCCATTGCTTCCAGGTTTCTAATGATGGTCTAACATAGATTGATTCATGATTTCAATGAAACTCAACAATCTCCACAACCCTATAATGAAAAAGATCTTACATAAGCTAACATAAGCTAAACATTATGACAATCGAAACAAACTAACAAGAGTAGATAATTTTGCGGAGGCTGATGTTTGTCATCACAAGTTAATATCAATCAATGACAACCCGAAAGTTACTTCGTTATAGTTTAAGTTTTTTCCAGCAATATGCAGCCGTAAGGCTTACATAAAATGCATTGTTATCATGACGTTTCCATTAGGCGGTTAGTACAATACATTTCTATGAATAAGTAGTAGTAGTATCTCATATTTCCAAATGATGTTTCACGATCTTCATCTAACATCATTAGTAAGTGGTTGCTATACTCCTGATTTAATTGTTTTCTTATTAGAACTCTGAAAAAATTATCTATGTATGTCAAACATTGATGCGGTAAACAAGACGATCGTATAGAGTATTCTCGTCGATAATTTCGTAAAAAATTTCTAGTCTTAAAAAAATTATTATCATCCTGAATGCAAATAAAAACTAGAAGGATCACTATGTGCTGAGAAGTACTGAATAGTACTGGATATTCGAACTTCTTACATCTGTGCACACTCATGATCTAACACAACACGGAACCCAGGAAATCCAGTTCCCGTATTGAATACGATATTTAACCACTGATATTCTACACTTTTCAAATTTGCGTTTCAATATGGTTATCATACTAATGTCATTGATATGAGCCTACTTCTCAATCTCAATTTGTTATCTTCAGAGATGGTCGTTTTTCTGTATTTGCAACACAATTTTCCCGTTTAAAACATTCTCAAAATGTTAGGCCTTTTTTGTATTACTCTCTTCGATGTCATCACCTGTTCAATCTCTGTATTTTTTTTATTTTGCTATCTAATTCCTTCTACCAAAATCAAGTTGATTCGATTTATAGTTTTTGCTGACTTCAGAAATCAGACAAGATTTGTTTACTGTTCATGTGTATAAGGGCGAATGTAACTTCCCGGCTGCCCACACCATGGAAGGACTCTGGTTGGCAGAAGAGGTTTCGTCCTCGTAACTTCCGAATGAACTCAGCTTTCATCATGAGACGTCATAACTCTTCTAAATGAAGACCTTTTAACTCCCAGGGCAGAGTTTAAATGGTTTGGTTAGGTTTTTGCGGGATGGTGTCGCCAACCCCAATCCCAAATGTCCTTTTTGGTCTTCTTGTTCACACTAAAAAACTTTTTTTAATCCACTTTTATTCGTTCTACATATTTTTTTTTTCACATAGGACATTTGATTATGTTTGTCGTGAACTTGTACAAATTCCTTCAAAATTACCTGTATTAATTATGTCAAATTTTCATGATCTACAAGACCAACGTAAAATCACTGAAGAACAAGTTCAAACGTTTCTCAATAATTTTATTCAACAATCAAATCAGCATAATGTGATATCACATGAAAAAGTCAATGAATTATCAACAAATATGCATACACAAAAGTGAGACTATTTTGTTTGCTTTTTCATTCTTAATTGTTTTATATGATCAGAAGTTCTATGTGTGTTCATGTTCATGAACATATTATTGATGTTAAATGATTCTTGATGATTGGAAAAACCTTCCTCCTCACTCCACCTCATCCGTTTTGTTTGACATAGATTTCATACTCGTTAGCGATGGTCAACACAAGGTGTTCCTACAAACTTAGATCACTTAAGTTTCTTACAGTCTAAGACGTGATCACATTGCAGCTTGATCGATAGAATTTAATTAGTACCTAGAAAGGAACTGCACAAATATTATGACATTATAGTCATTAAACTCTTTTTTTATCATTATGAGTGTTGTTCATGTTTATCTTTAGTATAACTTTTTCTTTTTTTTTCATAAAATCTAACCTGTAATTTTCATTCTCACCTTTTCCATGACACGTATGACACGTATAGATTGTGTCATCTTACGTGTATATAACTATTGTTTGCTTTCGAAAATCATACTCTTATCTTAATTATTATTAGAAAAATAATTACACTGATTATAATCAATATATTTTAATTGTTCATGAGACAATGTAACAAGTATTCTTATAATGAAATAATATTAAAATGACTGAATTCGCTCATCTTTAACTATGTTGTGTGATCAATTTGGAATTTAGCACTGAAAAAAAAACAATTAATCAAATAATGTTTTGAAAGTGAGAAAAAAAACCTTTTTTCAATAGTGTAAATTTTCAATAGAGTAAGTATTGAAGCTTCATCAGTTGAGGTGGTTGGGATATGTGTTGTGTATGCCTAACCACCGACTGCTTCATCGAGCTATGTTTTGTAGTGTAGGAATAGGTTGTAAGAAAGCTAGGGGCGACCGAACCAAACATGTCACAAATACATGAAGTCACTAACAGGTGGGCTGAGTCGTGTCGGTAGGTGTTGACTACTTACTTGGTTGAAGCCCGCGAGATGATAACAATCGATGGTTAAGGACCTTGAATGACATGGCTCAAAGCCGTTTGCAATGACGCAGATGCATTCATTCTTTGTGTTCTCTCGAATCCTGACCTTCAGAGTTTCTCATCACCTTTATCTTTTTCTTTTTTTAAGCTTATTTCACTAGATTATGGTTCTTGAACAATATCATCGAACCCTAATCTCTCCGATTACTGCTAATACTTCTGCTACCTCTACAACTACGGGGTTTGAATTGACAATTGCGTGTGTGTGCTAATGTGGTATGGCAACTTGAACTGACATACTTACGTACGAAGTTCTGCATTGTAACTGACTGACTGACTTGAAGCTCTAGTCAGAAGCATATGACCTGTAAAATCAGTCAAGAAAGATGAGTGAAACATTAAATCATCAATCATACTGAATTATGTTTACATTATAGTATAGATTGACTTAACCGTGACAGAGTTGTCTAACAATATGTCACCTGCTGTGAGATATGAAAGTCCTATGTCCAATCTTTTTTGGAGGTTGTGAATTAGTAGATTGTTGAGAAATTCACTCAAACACAAACAAAATACCGACTATATGACGTAATTTCTAGTGTTTAAATAGATCTCTATCCGTGATATCATCTTGTAACAAAAACTATGATCAAATAAGGATCGTTTTTTGATTGAAAGGATCTTTTGGAAATCGGTTTGATTTACAGGTTGTATTTGTTGTAGTCAAACTATCATTATAAATTATGGAACACTAAATAAACTGCTTCCACCTAGTTTAAGACTCTTTATCATAGTTTACTCACAGCTGACAAAATCAAATCCAGTACGTTTTGGTTTTGTAGTGAATGTTTACTCGTTAAATCTACCGTCCAACGGCTCAATTTGACCTTCTATCAATTTGCAATATATCCTTAGTAACCATTCAATAACATTAGTAACAACCGTTTCACTCCTAAGGAATCTCATACTAGAACGATACAATATTCTTAAATACTCTCTGATTTTCACTGTCACCTTAACTTATTTTAATATCTAACAAATACAACCTACAAATAGGTATCCTGAGTTTTTCTTCTCTCTCACCTTAACAATAACTAATATTAATTTCATATTTAAATCTCACAATTAATTCATCTCATCGTTGTATGTTTTCAATAAAGATCACTAAGGAAATAAATGTTTAATTCTTTTACATTCTAAATATACATATATATATATATATATATATATATATATATATATATATATATATATATATATATAATTCATTATTTGCATAAATTTATAAAAATTTATTTAATCTATGTACACATATTCCCTCTTTCATAAACATCTATAGACGCATGCTCACATATAAATTTACAGTAATTAGTAAATTATTTTTCATTTCAAATGTACGTGTGTATGTGCACTGAACAAACACTTCAATAAAATATGGGGTGATATATCATTGATTTTTTTTGTACACAATTCTGTCTGAATTCTCTCTCAACTGTTCATGTATACATGAGTACAGAGATTAGATTTATTATCCTCTTCAGTGTGTTTGCGTGTGTGCACTTCTAATTACTTACTGTCTTCTTTATATTCTGATAAATTCTAATTTTTGCTTTATTTTTATTTTTAAAAATCAATAAAAAATCTATCATTGATTATTGCCAATAGTGTAATTATTATTATTATTATTATTATTATTATTATTATTATTAGTTGTAGTAGTAATAATACCAGTATAACACAATTCACCAATAATTTATATATTAATCAATTGAATAAGTACTTTTGAACGAACTCATACTTTTCACCATAATCGTGTGTGTGTGTGTGCATTAGCATATGGGTAAATTAAATGAATTTCTTATCCGCCCTGCTCTTTTAAATTTCCCTATCAATTTTTATTTATATATCACCATATAGATTTTACTAATCCAAATATTTGTAAACTGTCTGTCAATGATTTATTTTCTTCAGAAACTAAATAAAGTTCATTGATTGTTGTTCGTTCGCCTATTTTGTAATCTCTGTCTGTGATAAACTTTTCGTTAATGAATATACCATAAAACATACACATATATTTATGAATTCATAAACATTATTAATTATGATTGTTGTTAGATTATTATTGGTGTCTGATGGTTATTATAACGATTAGCTGTTAGAATATAAATTCTATCAATATAGTAATTATGATGTTTTTTTTTTCCGGTTCTTTCATTGAATAAAAACTAGTCAAATTTGAAATATTATTAAACGACCGCCACCTAACCTTGAATCGATTTAAACACAAATTAATTCATACTAAAAAGAATAATCATCACTACTTACTACTTAGAGAGAATATATGACCTTAATCAGATAATACATGAATGTAAATTCACTAATAAATTTCGTGATGTTTATGATAAGCCTTATTGATTTTTTTTCTATCATTTGTTATAGACTGTTCCAGTTCAAATCAAATGATTTATATAATTGGACTGACCATAGTAAAAGTGGCAGTTGAACATAGCTCTTTTGATTTGAACGATTGTTAGTCTGACGGATTCAGATAATAGCTATTAAAACTAATTATAACTGTAAATGATTACTTTATATTGACCCGTTCGTACTTAATGAGGACGGGTTGAATCGTTGAACAGTTACAGTACTCAGTCTTACCTAACTCTTATTATTCTACATAGTAGCACCTAATACTTGATTGGACATGTATCTTGATTTGTAATCACAATATTAACTCTACCACTTCAAGGTTACCCATCGTCATTGTGATCAACTAATCTCATAAATTCATTTGACCTAAAAAATTAATCAAGTCATCAATGCATATTAGTCATCTCATGATTAACGGTGTTATGCAATATTTATAAAAAAAATCTTGAATTCACATGGTAAACGATGTATTTTACCTTAAACCTGGTTACTGTTTGAATTATTAGTTTTCAAATATAATTGTAGAACCTGACAAGAAAATATTGAATGCATAAGCATAAAATAGTTTGTATACTTTTCCGTCAGATAACGTTTCTTTTACGTTTTAGCTATTCTCAATACTTTCATTCATCAGTACCAATACTTATCATCACAGACAAAAAATTATGGCTGGAAACTTTCTGTTTAGGGTAACTAAGCTAGTATAAAAGTACTTATAATTACACACGGAGTATTGTGGTGCGAGCTACTTATAAGTAGTATATGACGTGAGTGTCAACGTAATGTCTGGCAGCAGAAGATGGGGGAAGATCAAGAAACGAAGAGTTAGAACACAATCGAATTTGTATGAAACGCATGAATAGTGACAATGGATTGATGTTTTGCAACAGGAACAGTCCAGTTCGATATGATGGACTGGTAATTTGCAAATTAACGATTTACGATATGGTTTTCCGATTTTACTGAGTAATTCTGTAATTTTCGTTACACACAATTCGGTTGCCTCACCTGTGTTCTCCTTCACTACAGTATGACTGTATTGTTATAATTATCCTTCACCCTGATTCATCTTTTTCAATGAACATGATTATATGTAAGTCTCATCAGCCCTAGTAGACTGGTGTCTGATAGTCTCAGCACGAATTCAAGAACCTCGATTAACCTTTGCCAACTTGCATCATTTTTGGCGTACGTACGATATTCGTCCGCCAGCTGAAGGACGAGTTTACTATATAAAAGTTCTCTCTGTCCTATTTTTTGGCTGTAAAACGTGATCTCTATAGATGACGCGTTCTAGGCGTATTTTAGTGGCAATCGATCCCAAAATTTATTACTTGAACATATGTTGTTTTCAAATTCACTTATTAATGTAAATCGTCCCTCGTATTTAACATTGTAGAGCTCCTTATAATGACTGTATTGGGAGCTATTTTCTGTTTTTGGATGGTCACTGAGGCTTATTAAACCATTATATGAAAATCTCGAATCTAACACATGTGTATGTTGTAGGCTCTTGCCCATAGTATCTGTCTAGTAGATTGAATATACCAAATATTTGTTATCCTATTGAATGAATGTATCCACCCAATTTGCCATCAGTTTGTATTTCTCTTTCTAATTGACTGCTACGCTTGTGCTATTTGAGATACAACTTGATATCGGTGAACGGAAAGATAACTAGGGTATAATAACAGGACAACTAAGCTATTCTATGCTGCCCAACCTTTCAAACGAGAAACAAAAATTAGAGATAACGAGGGATACTTTTGGCGCGAAAATAAGAGCTTCAAATTTCCAAAAATGTACTGCAAAATCAAGTGGTTTACCGTGCAATTTCTGGAAATTTAACATCCTCAATATTGACCTTGTTAATAAACAACACTATCGGTAAACAAAATTAACATAGAATAACAATTTAAAGAATAGTAGAGTAATTAGACTAAACTTCTTTCTGACAAAGAAAAATTTTCGAATATTTTATGTTCATATTTTCTAAACTAACTAGATATAAGTGATAAGAACATGTTCCACTTCATGATCCGTTGATTAATTTGGACATGAACAAACAATTCAGTTTTTCCTTCTTTTCACACTGACATTGTTGTTATTGTTGTTTGTTGTACTCGAATCAGAATGCTTGAAAAAAAAAACTTATGACATGGCATTGTTAATTACCACATACAATCAATTACATCGCTTCATCTGTCACTATTATAATCATTATTAATAGTGGTATTTTAGCAAGAGAAACAACCGATAAATAAGTGATGCAACTAAACGAAAATATGGAAATTGTTCTATTTGACCTTTTTCCATTTGACTATACTTATAAGTAAACTCCTAACAAATACGAAAAAAAATGTCCAAACGATGCAATTACATGAAACATGAATCATCTAAATTCAATTTAGTATGTTGTAATAATTCAAATTGGTAGGTAAGTAGGTTAGTAGCGAGAAATAAAAGGAAGCGAATATGTTGTGGTTCAATCAAGCGACCTATTTTTTGACCAATAATCATTCTCTAAGCTTTCTTTATATACCTAGTGTAGTGAACGAGAACACAGGTGGGGCGACCGGATTGTATTTAACGAAAATTACAGAGTTACTCAGTAAAATCGGAAAACCATATCGTAAATCGTTCATTTGCAAAAGATCAGTTCATCCTATGGAACTGGACTGTTCCTGTTGCAAAACATCAATCCATCGTCACTATTCATGCGTTTCATACAAATTCGATTGTGTTCTAACTCTTCATTTCTTGATCTTCCCCCATCTTCTGCTGCCAGACATTACGTTGACACTCACGTCATATACTACTTATAAGTAGCTCTCACCACACTAGTTCCTATGGAATTTGTGTATTTGTTTTAATTCTATAAATGTTCTTTATCACTCTATATCTTTTGTTTTATAATTTTAATTAGTGTTTCTTGTTTTTTTTAATGAATATTCAATGTTAAATGTTGAGTAGAAATGTAACAATGAAATAAAACTGAAAAAAGACATATACGTCTGTTTCAATCATATTTAAGTAGCATTTTAAAAGTATATCTACGATTGTAATGACAGATGAAAATCCGTGAAAATCTTAATAAATTCAAAATAAATCTTAACCAAAACAACATTGCTAAATTAGATTCATGTAATCTGTACAATGCCTAATTGGTTGTTTTCGTTCAACTTTATATAATCATAAATTAAAGTTTTTCATTAATGATTCACCTTGGGCATTGATTATTATTATTATTATTATTATTATTATTGCTATTATTATTGTTATTACTATTATTAGTAGTATGAACAGACCAAATTATTGACCAGTATATCACAATAATAATAATAATAATAATAATAATAATAATAGTAATGTACTGACGATATGATGATCTCTACGCATTTCATCAGACTACTGCAAAAAAAAATACAATCGTGATTATTGATTTATATGCTAAATTGTGAATTTGAATGAAACCAATGTAATTAATTTCAAGTGGAATAGATGATTTCGACTTAGACATCATTATTTCATGCATAAATTATATGAATTCTATAAAATGACTATTACAATGAATAGTCTATTGTATTTTCCATTGAAAAAAATCTGGTGTGATGATGTTTGATATTTAATGGTGATAATAATAATAATAATAATCAAACTAACTATTTTCATCATTCATTTACTAGACTGGACTTTGTTCTGTCTTTCTATGTCGTAATAGAATAGCTTTTGTTTTTCATATGGAAATTCAGTTTAGATAATGCGATTTATACAATGACTATTCAATAATCAATCAATTGTAAATATCTCCTTGCTACAGGAGGTTAATCGTAGCCCATATATAGCTCAGTGATAACGTATCAGATTGTGAAACTAAGCGATATATCGTCAAATCGATCATGGAGTATAGGTTCTCTATATGATTTCTAACGCGAAACCTAGGTCGAGTAGGGTTTACTGCCAACCACTTTCAGCTATCTAACATGGTGATATATATCTATCTATATATATATATATATATATATATATATATATATATATATATATATATATATATCTTTGATCAGGACAAAGAAGTAGTTGTAGAAATGTTTGCAGTCAGATATCATCCCACTGGGGTCACATCAGTGATTCCTGTACAAGTGTGCTTTGGGGAATCACGACAACAGCAAGATTCGAACTCAACGTCTTATGATCCCTTTATGCAAATAAATATCAATCCAACAGTTTCTGAACTTAATGTTATGCATGAGGAAGCTTCTTTAGTCATAAGAATAATGGTTTAAATACCAATTAATTACATCCGAAACTAGATTTATGCATCAAAACAATGTGATTTAATTTTTCATGTAGGATTTAACTTCTGTTCAATTCCCAATGACATTTCATTTATCTAATGTTTATCAATGATTTAGTATTTAAAAGCTCTACTTGATTTTTACTCGCTGAGATATGGTTTCAAATCCCATGTCTATATCCTTGATTCAGACAAACGATCACCAGCTCATATATCAAAAGCTTAATCTACGAGCTAGTGCTTGACCGCTGAATTGTAAGACTTGAAGGTTGATTCACCAACTTACTTACCCGATTACAGTGACTATGAAACATATTGTCACATAAACTTTTTTTTAATGATTGGAGTAGCATAGTATTAGATGACTTTTATTTACTCAGTTCATACATTACTGTCTAGTACAACCATCTGTTAGAATCAATATCTATAAGGACTGCATAATGCTTTACATTTTCAACTTGATTTTATTCCCTTGAAACCTGAATATCCTAGTGAATATCCTAGTTTGTATTGTTAATTTCATTTATCTATTAAAATTTTTTTCAATCATATACATATATCATTTATATCTTTGTAGTTCCATATCGAATTCGGTTCGTTCTATACCTGTACAATATTGTGAATCTTCAATGAAAACCGGTTTAGGTTTAATGTATGTGTATAAATTTTTGAATATACCATTTTTATGCTTACAACGTGACGTACTACAATATCAATTAAAACGTAATCATGATGAAATGATTCATATTTTACATGAATTAAGTCCAAAAACTGATAATCAAACACCAGAACAACGGTAAGTGTTAAATAATTACTTATTCTTTTCATGTTGTATACTGATTTTTTTCTTATCAACCTCAGTCAGTCAGTCTGTTGTTCATAAGCAATATGGTAATCTAGCTTATTTGCGAAATCGGTTCAAGTTGCCACAGCACAGCGCATCAAAACGCTAGAGTAATAGTAGTATCAGGGTAAGAAGATATAATTTGAGAAAGTATGAATTGTCATTATAAGGTTCTAGAGATTTTCGGATTTCATCGAAATGATGAATGGATCAATATTAGGCCCTCATTGGAAACCTAGCAGCACTAGACGGCCGTTTTTTCCCTAGCATGTGAGTCATCAGCATTGCACATCCTTGACCCTGCGTGAGGCAGTTGGACCCGGGACCTTCGGTTTCGCCCACGAACGCTTAACCTCCTGACCACTGAGCCGGGCTTCAAAGGTGTTAATGTCCAACTTCAATCAATCCACTATATTGCGCGACCTAATTCATTGTCTTCTCTGGGTAAATGCCTCACAACACAACAATAACATTGATCAGTTCATTGAGAATACGAATTGCTGAAATAAAAGAAATTAGAAACTAAAAAAACTAAGAAAAGACAGAATGAATACACCTGAGTCATTGTGAACGATTTTGAACCATGTTGCCCAAAGTTTCTACTTATTGGTTAAGATAATTTCATGTACTTGAACCAGGTAGCTTAATCCCTACCTAATACATGGCTCACTCCAACAGTCAGTCTCTTCATGTACTGATGCAATATCTTGGTTTGGCTACCCCTAGCTCTATTCCAACTTACTCCTTCGCTAGACTTTGTCGCTCCTCAAGGTAGGTTGTTGTCAGCTAAACATAATTTATATCCTAACTCCCAACGTACGTACGAATTTCTACGTTGTAGCTGACTGATCGATCCTTGACTGATTAAAATTCAATAACTCACCAACTGATTCACCATTCTTACCTAATAAATAGCGTAGACCAAACACTTTGTATTTTTAATGACGGAATAGAATCCTATATACTATTTGAATCGCTATTCAAAACGTTCATTAGACTATTCATTTTGGTCGCAATCTTCCTCAGAGGAGATAATATCAACTACATACTGAAATTCATTAAGAGAGACCTGCGAATCTATCACAGGGCTATTAAAAAAAAAACACTTTTGACTTCTTTCTATGTGACTAACTGAATTTGATCAACAGTAAACAATAGACAAACAATATTAGTCCATACTCATTAATCAATCAATGAAATACTGTTCTATTCCCTGTCTCCCAAAGCGACACTTCATATTCCTTGTTCATTCAAAATGAACAGGCCAAAGTTTATTTTTAATGTTCCCAGTAGAAAATATGAATATCTCTAAACTTACAAAAAAATCCTATTTTTAATGTTGATAATATAATGAAAATTCATGTCTTCAATTTCAAATAAAAACATTTTTATCATTTCATTTATTAGTCAAATAAAATCAAACAAGTTCTAAAATTAATTCAAGTTTAATCAATATATTCAATTTGTGAATCTACATCTTAAATTAGTTGGTTTTTTTTTCTACAATTTCAATTGTTCAATGTTAACAACATCATTTTCATTGCTCTATTATTTATTGCCTTAACATTTACATTATTATAACAGATTGTTATGAATATTATAGGTGTCAACTGCACATTGTTAGTGTCTTGTTTCACTTCACTTTCGAAAATTCATTGAACAGTTCGAATTAAATCAATGTTGTTGTTGTTGTTATTGTTGTCGCTGTTCTCGGTAAAATTAATTGTGTTGTTTACAAATACAAACAGGCTTACACATAAAAACAAAATGAAAGAAATTCAACCTTAATTGTTTGTTTGTTTGCTTTTCTTCGGAAAGTGTTTATATATGTGTGTGTGCGTCCGTGTAACGTCATTTTGTTTCGCATTCATTCCACTTAATTGACTACTAAAATTATAATCTTCCTATTTATAAATGGATACATATATTTCATTATGATTTTGTTTATTAAAAAAAACTGGTTAGATGTTGAAATCTAGATGACTGCATTTTAATGATTGGTTCCTTGTGTGTTTGTTTGTGTGTATGTATGTATTTCTAAATTTTTTTTAAAATTATATTTGTTGATTATAGTTACTCCCTAATTGATGCATAGGTCGGGAGAATGAATTTTCATCCGGTATTAACCATTATAGACTAGAGTAGCATTATATAGATGCTTCGACTTTAGTTTGAAACTAAATCAGTACAGATGCATGACGTATTGACAGGAATCGAGTTAAGTACCTTCAGATCTTAAAAAGATAAGTGAGTGCATTATCCTCAAACCATAGAATTAAAATTTATTAATTTTAATGTATAAACTAGTCTCTCCTAGGTTGCCTTGAAGGGCGGTCGAATTACAACATAAAATGAATCCATAAAGTCACTAACTGTTGACCTAAGCCATATTGGTAAGCTCAAGTTATCTGATTGTGATCCGCTCAATTAGTATAGCCAATGGTTAGGGACGATTAATGATGTATCTCACAGTTTGTCACTCTCTATCCTCTCTTCCATCTTTTATGTTTCTGTTTCATAAAATCATCCTCTCCTCTTTAAATTATATTCTTTACAGTCAATAAATTTGTAAATCTACACTAACCAAGAAGACTAAAGTATATGTTTCATATATAAAATAACTGACAACCAACATTACTTGATGTACTTGTTGTTATGTGATCAGGTCTATCGAAGTATAAATATACTTGAATAGATTAAGGCACATTATATCAATCATTTAAGTCTATAAACGTCAAGTTCAGTTAGTTTAAGTGATACACCTCTCCTAAATGGGAAGTCCCAGCCAATACATACAATGTATACAACATTAGCCTAAATTGACAATTCCAAGTGGTGTCCGTCAGGGATGTCCACTCTCTCCATTCTTGTTTAGTTTTGCTATAGACATGCTTCTAGATATAACATTATTTTGGTCTGAACTTTCAAGAGTAGACCTTCTACCAGGAGTCACACTTGTTGACTTAGAATATACGGATGACATAGTCCTATCGGGTGAAGACACTGACAAAATGCAGAGTATTCTGACTACCCTAAGCGACAATGCAAGCATGTTCGGGATGCGGTTCTCCCCGTCGAAAAGCAAAATGTTTCTTCAAGATTGGGTTGCATCGGCACCTGAACTAGTGATAGAGAACAAAGTAGTCGAACGTGTAGACCGCTTCACTTATCTCGTGAGTTTCGTCAGTGCTAATGGTCTGGTGACTGCCGAAATCTCAGCACGGATACAGAAGGCTCGATTGGCTTTTGCCAACTTGCGTTACCTATGGCGTAGGTGAGATATCCATTTGCTTACCAAAGGACGAGTCTACTGTACATCAGTTCGCTCTGTCCTACTATATGGATGCGAAACATGGCTGGCAAGAGTAGAAGACATTCGTAGGTTATTAGTATTCGATTATAGATGTCTTCGAAGCATTGCTCGTGTATCCTGGGACAACCGTATAAGCAATGCTGTCGTTAGGTAACGGGTATTAGGTAGGTATGGCAGGTCAACGGATGAAATATTGAAATTTCATTAGTTGAGGTGGTTGGGACATGTGTTACGAATGCCCAACCACCGACTGCCTCGTCAAGCTATGTTTTGCAGTGTAGGGAGTAGGTTGGAAGAAAGCTAGGGTCGGCCAGACCAAAACATGGCACAAATTTGTGAAGTGACTGACAAGTGAACTGAGTCATGTTGGTAGATGTAGGCTACCTGCTTGGGATCTTCGAGACTATAGTAATCGATGGTTAGAAACTTTAAACGAAGTGGCTCAAAATCGTTCGCAATAGCGCAGGTGCATCCACCCGTTGTGTTCTATGAAATTCTAATCTTCACAATTCCTCATCACCTCTATCTTTCTCTTTCTAAAGTTATCTCACTCAATTATACTTCTTGAATAAAATCTTTGAACCCATCTTCTCTATTACCGCTATTACTTCCACTATCTTTACCCTCACAGGATTAGAACAGACAGGTGCGTCTCTGTGCTTATGTGGTATGGCAACCTGAACTGATGTACTTACGTACGAAGTTTATGGCTTAGATGGTAGAGTTTGTTTGAATCCAATCTTTTTTATTATTTTTCCCCTTTTATGGAATGTTAAAAAAAGTTAGAAATCTAAAAATAGTGTTCTTCTTTTATCAGTTTCAGTTATATTAATTCTAATCAAAAGAGTACAATTAATGAATCATCTTCATCACAACTATACTCTACGTCTCCTTTTCCGATGATGACCAAAGATAATGGCAAGTTAATCATGTTTTTTTATTCGAAATAATATAGTATGATTTTATATGATTTTTAAAAAGATAGAATATCAACTATTCTAATTAATTCTTTACTATTTTTACCATCTTTGTAATCAGTGTTATGTTTTGTATGTTCATCTAGAAGAATAACTCTCATAACGTATAGGTTCGATAAAGGTGTATTATTGAAATCATGAATCGATCAATGTGAGACCACCATTAGTAATCGTTTCGTCCTGGCATGGGACTCATCAGCAGTGCGCATCCACAACTCCCGCACTTCGCAGTATTCGAACCCAGAACCTGCGGTCTTGCTCACGAATACCTAACCTCTGGACCACTGAGTCGATACTTAACGATGTTAATGTCTAACTTCTATCAATTCACGGTCTTGCTCAACCTCGTACACTATCTTCGGTAGTTACTGTCTACACCCAAACAGGGTTGAACTCCACTAGTCATAACTTCTCACTAGAACTGGAAGAAGATTTCTAACAGAACTAGTCACTAGTGAGCACGGGTAATTGCATTATAGGGTTGTGGAGATTGTTGAGTTACTTACTGAAATCATGAATCAATCAATGTGTATTACTTCATGTAATCACCAAAATTATCTTTATTTCTAATTAAAAATTACTTGTTTTTTTCCTACTACATTACAATATAAATGATGCCTATTTAGCCAGTTAATTTCAAATGCTATAGCCCTAGAATCAATTCATAGGTTGATCTCATTTTAGAGTAACATTCAACATTAGTAAGTAATAAACAACCGTTTCGTCCTTGTGTTGGCACTCCTCAGCATTGCCACTACATAATTCTGTTACGGATCGGATCTATAATCTATAAAACAAATCGATTGTCACAAAACTACTTCAAGTTAGTTAAGTTAGTATTGGAATAAAACAAGTTCTAAACCATCACTTGAGAATTTTTGTTCGAATGCTGGTGTTGTTTTTCTCGTCAAAAAATATACCTATTTCCCTTGTTATTGATTTTTTCAGTTGCAAACTCTCCAACTAATCTAACTGAAACAAGTAAGACATCAAAAATACCAACAACAACAACAACAATGACTTCTTTATATTCATCTAATGTGACCAACCACAACATCATCAACACCAACAACAATGTTCATATGAAAAGAGATGAATCTAACGAAGAGTAAGTTTAGAGCTCTACTATGATATTCTTTTTTTCTATCAGTGAACATAAAAATATAAGTGTTCATATTCACACAAATGTATTTTCACATTGAACTTTTTTATTCTCACTATTACAATGATAATAATAGAAGTATTGAAACATATATAGATAGCAGGAGCAGTTTCAAATTAATATTGACAAGAAATTAATATCACTAGCGCCTAAGTCGTCGGTTTTTTTTTCAATCTACTCTCATCTATTTCAATTTAGACACCTGAATAATCATGATAACTAGCTCTGATACTATGAGTGTGTATGTGTGCGGCACAAAGCCAAGTACACTCTGAATGAGTTGATGAATCAAAGTAATTAATTCATAAAAATTATTACAGATGAATAATTTGGGTTATATATGTGTGTAGATGTGTGTGTGTGTGTGTGTTCAGAAATATTGATTCTAGTGGCTTTAAAAGTTTAGAAGACAATTCAATTCAACCATCCGAACAAAATAAACAATGGCAAATTTGAAAAATATGTTATTTTAATGAGAAAAATTCATTTCATTGTAAATATTTTTAATAAAATGAATTTTTATATTGTTCAATTCATTGTTCATTAGATCTATAAATATAATTCTATCGATAAATATTATAGTTTGTTTGTTGTTGTTTTTTTAAGAGAATAAACTTTAAATCTATCAATTCACTTAACTTTTTTACATATTTTGAAATGAAACGAAGCAGGAATGTGTTTCATTGATCGTATTGATAAACATTGTCTGATAATGTTAGTTTTTTTCCCTCTTTGCCGGTGATCACTTTCTGTTTTGTCAATTTAAATAAACACATTCGTAAATATTACACGTGTAAAACAATTGATTGAAATTACAAACACCAGCTACAGGACTTAAACTCAGTGGTCTGAAAGTTACCACAAGGTGTGAAGGTCCTAAGTTCTATCCTGAGTAGGATAGTGTACAGATAGACAGATAAACGCCGAACTTCGTATATGAGTAGATAAGTTCAGGTTGCATGACAACCCCATTAGCACACACACATATTTGCCAGTTCAAATCCCTTAGTAGTAGAGTTAGTAAAAGTATTAGCAGTAATCGGAGAGATTATGGTTCGAGACATGATTCGAAAAGTATAATTCAGTGAGATAAATTTAGAAAGAGAAAGATAGATATGATGAGAAATTCAGGTTAGAATTTGAGAGAACACAATGAGTGGATGCACTTACGCCATTGCAAACAATTATGAGCCATGTTGTTCAAGGTCTCTGTTGAAGAGTACCATACTAGGGTGAAATAGCTGTCGATTGAAATAGAGTTAGAAAAAGCAAAATAAAGTGAAAGAATATAAAGTGTGAAATGATACTTAACTTATGACTCAATGGAAAATAAAGTTTGAATGCACCTCTACTAAGCTGACTGATTTTATACTCACTGTCATTCAACTTCACTAACTAGAGATCATCTGACTATTACTCATAGATTCATTCCGATTAACATTGTTCACTCGTAAATTAGTAGTTGGATTAAACAACCTACTGTTAAAGGTGACTAAAGTGATTGAACTAATAATTTGCTTATAGAATCAACACAACTCCTATTGAGGCATACAAATCGTTCAAACAAGTATTAAATAACAACGGGATGGACAAAAGTATGTATTACAAATGTAGAACCTATGGTTCTTTAATTCTCCTTGTCCTAACACTTATTCACGACTAGTAAGTATAGTGATTTACATCAGACCAACTAGTTCATTTCATTTATGTAGTTGTATAGGTCTGATTCATCTGAAATCGCATTTATCATCCTCTTTAAGGTTTGACATATCGCTTGTTGACTAGTATCAATTAGTCCCCTAGCTTATCTCCTAAAGTTTCTCACTAATTATCTTCAATCGTTTAGCTTTCGATTGATTCAATGCGTTCTTCAGAAGTAATGATTTTTATCGATGACTGCTGTTAAACAACAATCAATAATTGAAAAATGAATGACATGGTTTAAAATTGTTTACAATGGCACAAACGTATTCACACTTTATCCTGAAGTTCAATAAATGTTTTTCACCTTGCCTTATTCAAATCATATTCTCAAGGTTTAGTTTTTCTTTTTTTATATTTGTTACTGCACATTAATTCAATCTCTCTGCTTATATTCATATCGCATTGTGTTAACACAGTATAACAACTTAGCCTAATGCACACTTGATGTTACCGACTAGAATACAGACCGGCAAATAAGCGAACAATTTAATTTTATCTTTGAGTATTAGAATAAATATGTTGTTGCACTCTTAACTATACATTACACACTTGCCTTCAAAATTTTCGACCAATTGTTTCTACTGTATAATATTTTTTTGTTCTCAAGATTGAAACACAATCCAATGGTGATAGCATTCACGGAAGATATTGATCCTGCCGATAATGAAATATATTATCTTAATAACAATATTACTACTACTGCTACTACTACTTATAATGATAATAAAATTATTGATTCCGAATCACCTACCGGATCATTTACAACATTTACTCAGAATAGTGATAATGACAATGATATTTGTAATGTGACTGATGAGAATTTGTGTTTTGAAAAAACTAAAAATTTTCCCCATGAAACTATGGATGAAATACAATTGAATTTACGCTTAACACAAGTATGAAAAGGTTGTTTTATGATGAAAATTTTCTATTAATCTTCTTCATGTATTCAACGTTTGGCTTAGTAAATATCTTTTTTGTAAACTTCATACTAAATTAATGTATTCCATTTAGTACTGATGAATGGAGAGAGTGATAGTCACTCTAAATGTTAGGGCTGGTAACAATACTCAGTTGCGCAAACCGAAATAAATGAGGCGGGTTTCGAATGTGCAACTAATTAATTGGCAGTTGAATGCCTTAAATATGAAGCCATCATTCCTAAAATTATGAATCTATCGAAAAAGAATCACTTTCGCCCACTACTTAATGTCAATTTAATTGGTGATTTGCTTTACTCACTATCACCACGTTAATTCCGCGTAAATTAATTATTCCGTTGTTGGTATTTTGATTGATCAGTTTTGGTTAACATACATCAGACATCCTATGTCGATTACCTCAATGTAGTTATTGTGATACAGTTTTATGTAGAATAGACAAAACATGACTAGTAGTTGAATCCATGATACACATTTCGTCCTATTTAGGACTCGTCAGTTGGCATCAACAACGTGATAATCCAAACAATTTCAAATTGAATTAAAACTCATAAACGTTACATAATTAAATGGTTATGTGAACTCAGTAACTAAGTGAAGCGAACAACACAGAATTTGAGTCCCGGAGTAAACATCAACTCTGGGATGCAAGTACATCCAATTGAGGTCGAAGTCTATTGATCAAGCTACAATGTAGCAATGTGGTTGAACATTGCATAAACCATTTATTAATGCTAGATCGTTAGATCTAATCTTTAAAAAGAACATCCTTGATCTAGTTTCCATACTAATTAGCATTTGTCAACTAGGCGTATATGTAATCTTCATGAAGGTGATGATTTGAACTTGTATGATACAGATAGTTTTGCTCACGCCTAACGTTCAATATTCCTATGATTCCAAGTGTTTGAAATGTTGTCCTCACTAGCCATCATAGTTTGCTTATCTCCTCCTGTTTGTCATCAAATTAAATTTTGTTTACAATTTATTTAGAGCAAAATAAAGTTTATCCATGTATTTATTTCTCTTACCTTTCTCATTCATATTTACTTCTGTTAAATGTCACTTTTTGTATTCTTTTTTTGTTGACATCATTCTTCAAATTATCTATTACACAATGTTATTCTCATGGGGAAAAAAGGCTAATTTGGATTACTCACATCAGATCAATCGGTCCAAATTGAAAACAACAGATGGTACGATGGTGAATTCTGGTCAGTTCTATATATAATAATCATAAATTACAAGTCTCATTTTATGTGTTATTATTCACTACCTGTTTTTTCTTGAAAAAAAAATCGAATTACCTTGTACAGTGTGTATGTGAATGTTATTTGATAATTTTATGCATATGTTGCAACAGAAGACGACTAGTGTAGTAGCAGTAGGTCTTAACATACATCAAGAGGAAAACAAGATTCCCCGATGCAACACAACATGCACCAACCAAATCACTCTTGATGGAGATGCCTTGGAGGACGTTAACACCTTTACATATCTTGGCAGCATCATCGACAGTCGAAGTGGATCCGATGCAGATGTAAAAGCACGGATCGGTAGAGCAAGGGTCGCATTTCTACAATTGAAAAATATTTGGAACTCCAAACAACTTTCAACCAAAACCAAAATCAGGATTTTCACTACAAATGTCAAGACAGTTCTACTGTATGGAGCGGAAACTTGGAGAACTACCAAAGCCATCATCCAGAAGATACAAGTATTCATTAAAAGTCGTCTACGCAAAATACTTTGGATTCGTTGGCCAGATACAATCAGCAACAAACTACTTTGGGAGAGAACAAACCAGATTCCATTGAAGGAGGAAATCAGGAGAAAACGGTGGAAGTGGATAGGATACACACTCCAAAAAGTACCCAACTGTGTTACAAGACAAGCCCTCACTTGGAATCCTCAACGTCAAAGAAGAAGAGGAAGGCCAAAGAACACATTCACCCAGAAAAGGAGTTAGACATGAGAAGAATGAACGAAAATTGGATAGAAGTGCGAAGAGAAGCCCAGGATAGAGCAGGTTGGAGAATACTGGTCGGCGGTCTATGCTCCATAGAGGATAACAGGCATAAGTTAAGTAAAGCAAAAAGTAATGCATATGCTGTTGTCATTGTGATTCATTCTAAAGAGATTTTGGTTAAAAATTAAACATACATGTTTATAAAAAAATCAAGACTAGATATAAAATTATATCTCCCGACAGCGTGCGAAACTCATGCATATAAATCCTGGAAACGATATTTGGACAGTAACCTTTACTGGAGGAATAATTGTCAATGCATTTGTCACAATGGATTGAATCATTCGCCTTTCTTACTCTCCCGCTCTATCTCTCTTTCGCAATTCTAGTGAAATATCATGATCTACGATATATCTATCTATCTATCAGTACGACTAAACTAATTGTCTCACTCTATTCCAAATAAACTGAAATTAAAAGCATGGATTAAATACTTACCTCTTTCCAATGATTCTCTGATTGATTTGTGTTTCTCATGAAACCTATTAGTCAACTTTACTTTTCACCACTACTACCTCAACCAATCACATATATTTTCAAAGATTATGTCATGCGTTGTTATTAGTTAAACAACCATTGAAAGCCAGGAAGCAATGAACAGATGTTTCATCCTAGTATGGGATTCCCTAGCAGCGCGCATCCATGACTACAATCGAGCCCAGGATCTTTGATATGGAGGCAAGCGCTTAACGCCTAGACCAATGATTTTAGCAATTAATGGCTTATATTGCCTAATTTTAGTCAATTCGTGATATTCCTGGATTGTCTTCCATTGGCTGCAATAGATAACTGTCTCACACAAACATATTAAACAGTTCAAGCATTAATCCTGTCTTTTATTTATATTCAGTAAAAATTCACGTTCTCGTCAGAAAATACAATAGAACATTCTGTTCCATTTCATGTAAAAATCCTAGAAAAAAAACCTATTTAACCGTTCATTATCTACCAGGATTTTTTTTACGTCGTTGATCATAATAGCATGTCATTGATGTTATATACAGAATTATTGTTTACTTTACTGTCTTCTAATTAATCATTCGTAATCAACGTAAAACCCGGCACAAAGTTCCATCGGTTCAAGTTAGCGCATCATATCAGAACGGAGAGATGAAATCGTCAAGATAAGTACCGGAGTATTAGTACTAGCGTAGGCGCTGGTAACAAAGATTAAGCACGGATGATTTGACAAGGCACAGTGAATAAACTATATCAAATAAATTTTAAACTCAGGATTTAAGGGTAAAAAATGAAAGTAAATGATTCTACGCTATTGCGATTGATTTTGAGCGCTATCACTTAATATCTCCAACCGTTGGCCATGATAATTTGACCACCATAATTCAGACCAACAGTGCCAAATTCATGAAATGATGCTACGTCTTGATTTACCTCCCTCTAGTTTCCTTTTAACCTATTCTTACACTGACAAGCATTAAGCATCCGGATAGGGCAACCGTTAGACATACTTAATATCTTTCCCAACCAATTCAGTCCATAAACCTACTATCTTTGCTTCGTATTCTGCTTATAACCTTAGTCCGTTATTGTCGGTTTGATAGTCCCGACATACTTAAATAATTAATAGTAATCATTATTTATCGATTGGCATTGATTTCATTCACTTCTAAACTTGACTTTCATTATATTCTGTTGAATTTTTGCCTGTTTCCCATATTCCTTATTGATTTGTTCATCTTTTTTGTTTTAAATTCCTCATTAAAATGATTAGGACAACTAGGAGAATTCGAGCCTAGACAAACTAACAGCACAAATGAAGTAAGTTTAATTTTTCAAATGTATATGAATTAAGTAATACATATTATGGTTGTCATCGTCGAATTACAATGTAATTTAATATTTGCTAAACAGACTAACTGAATGTCTAAATAACTATAAAAATAAAAGAAACCCAATACGAGTAGATCATAAACATTCATCATTGACATTTCAGACATATCTTGCCGTAATCCGCTACAAAATATATGACAAACTTTTTTACTAGGCAGTTACATAGTTGACGGTACCTCGCTTGTTTATTGCTTATCAGTGTAGTTGACGTATAGCTTACTGCTGAATGAACTGATATGCTGTTGAACCTTGAAATCTTATGTATTAGTTTAATTGATTATCAATTAACTAGCAACTACCTACTCAAGCTACTGACGAAGCATGTGATATTGGTCACCAAATTATCAGTGACAATCTCACCACTGTGCCTAACTCAACAAAAGCCATCACCCCAGTCACCATTTCATAAAAATAAGTGTAATTAATGATTTTGAAATAAAAATAGTATTCACAAAGCAGTAGTACACTTTCAATCTGTCGGTTATCAGTACGAACCTTGCTTCATAGATTTCACTTTACATACGTACCTGGCTAGTATCGCTGAATCTCGCATACCAAAAAAAAAGAATTGAATTAAAGCTAATTACATACATTTGTACTTGACAAATGAGTGTTACACATTTTTAACATTAAAATTTTTTTTCTCTTAATTTGATATCTCTTTCCTTACAAGCAGGACAAAGCTGCATTCAAAACAAATATAACAAACGATAAAAGTTTGTCTATATCTAATGAAAATATTATTATACTACCGACAGATAATGATGCTTTGGAAAAATTTCTTGAAGATAACTAGTAGAAAAAAAACAAAACAATTTTTAAACTGCTTTTTTTTCTTCTGGTTATTCTTCCAGTGGGAATTGTAACTGTCACTTTCACTCTTAATATTTTGTATAAAAAGAAATTTAAATATATCTTACTTATGTTGTTATTATTATTGCTTAAGTTACTTGTTAAATTTGATTCAAACAATTATAAACCCTACGTACATCAGTTCAAGTTTCCATACCACTTTAGCACAGAAAAATGGAGATGTTAGTTCAAATCTCATAGTAGTAGAGGTAGTAAAAGTACTAGCAGTAGTCGGAGATAAGACTCAAGTAGTATTTCTCAGTGAAATAAACTTAAAAAGAGAAAAAACATCGTAAGGTTTTCAGAAGGTTATAATTTGAAAGAACACAAAGAATGGATGCACCTGCGCCATCGCAAACGAGTTTCAGTCATATTAGTCAAAGTCTTGCACCACCGGTTACTATTATCTCGCAAACCCCAACAAGATAGTCTACACCTACTAACATGGAGCAGTCCAGTTGTCAGTGACTTGACGGATTTGTGCCATGTTTTTGGTTTGGCCGTCCCTAGCCTTCTAGCCTACCCCTACATCAAACAACATTGCTCATTGAAGCGATCGGTGATTAGACTAAGGAAATATGTGTTTCAACTAATACAGCTCGATTGGGTCATCACAATAGGCGAGCACAACCCTACTAAAGAGCCGGCTATCACCAACCACCTAGCATCAAGACAGTGCATACATTTTGAAGTCAGTATTAAAGACTAGACAAACATGATACTGTCCACCACTCAATGCATCCAAGGCTGATTCACTTATTATATTGGAGATTCGTTCTCTGAGCTGGATGGTTAGGTTATTGAGATTGCATTGTTTTTCTGAACAGCATCAGCGGAAACTTCGGGTAGCAGTGAAGTATTCAAATTCACTGAATTAGGTGATTCTGTGAAAGGTTATTAACTTAGTCATTTCAAACATCAGGTGACAATAGCTAGAGATATGATAAAATTAAATTAATAGACTATTTGCTTTCGATCTAGCGATTGATTGGTGAAGCGTTCATCAATAGATCTGGATGTAGTCGTCATGACTAGTTATTTCATCGAATAAGTATAAAGTCCTAGTCAAACGGTAGCTGATAACAGTTTAACAACAGACCTAGGTAAATTATGGGTATCAGTTACTCGATATGCTCGTCAATTGACATGCTTGAAACTATTACGAGTTCACCTTACTCGGTAAACGGAGCGAAGACAATTGATTCAGTGACACGCTAGGCTATTCTCATCTGCTGTCCCCGGCCCGGCTAACAACATTACGAAGTCTTGATAAGACATAGAAAGTGTATTGTAAAAGCACCCAGAAAATGCGAGGTCAACAAGCACACAAAGCGAGCTTATTTATACACGACAGAAACGTCCTTCGGAGAGCCACAAAAATAGCGTACACAAATACTACATCAACCAATAACAGTAAAGGATTTTCCGAGTGGTAAATGAAAATTGAAGGTCAAATAAGCGACTTCTGCGCGAAAACATAAATAATCCGAAATTAGAACACTTTCCATGTGAGTTCTGAGGATCTAACGTCCCCAACATTACTGTTTGAAAAATTAACAACAGAGTGGACCGAAATAAAGAGCGAGATGGAGATCACTTATGTGTAGTGGCAAGGAGTAAGAAAAGTGGAAGCATTAGATAATAAAAATTAAGCTTAGTTGATGTGACTGAACACAGCGTGGACTGAAAAACAATAACTAGCCTATCATCTGGTTCCTTATATTTGGCCAAGAATCGTGTATCCGGTATATTGCGATCCAGTCTGTGCAACGTATCTCAATCAAGCGGTAGTACTAAGTACTCTACTGATTGACTGAGTTTGAAATGTTAAGCCGAATATGGAAAAAAAATCAAGATATTAAGAAATCTTTAGACGTATCTGCAGGAATATTGTTGTGTTAACAAAAATAGTAATGGACAGCTCTCTAAATGTCCTGGTATGGCCGAGTGTGAATAGAGTCCACCCTTACATGGCCGCACGTCTATAACCATTTCCACGCAGGTCTAACTAACTGCTTTCTCGCGGCGGTGTTGCTTACGAAATTGAGAGAATAAAACGCGAGTATCTGGCACTTGATAGGTACGGAAGATCCATGTTTGTGAATTAGAAAATGCTGATTTCAAACCAGTGGTGCACATGGGCTCCAGGAACCCCAGGGAACAAATGGTGTATGAACCTATTGTTGGTTACCGGTCAACATGAAAATGTCTCTCCTGACGCTGCTCTAGTGCCTTGTGGATTGGGAGGATCTGATAAAAACCACCTTCAGTTTGGGCACCAGGATAAATTCACTGGTTTGTGTGGCGCATGAACACTTTGGCGCTTCCTTCTCCTAATTTTTATGCGCTTAAATAAGTTAATAAATTATACAGTTCACAAACTTAAATAAATTGGACTGGTGTGCAACATATCATCTAGTTCCATAGTCAGTCGTGAATATTGACAATCCATCCATAAAAATGCTTGTATGATGTCACGAACTGAATGGAGTGAAACATGTAAATCATCGGATATTGGCTCAGTAGTTTCGTTTTTTTCACACATTTACAATCATCCTGCCAACCTACTATTTACGACGTCCCCTGTTCACAACAACTTTCAGCTTATTCATGTACACTCATAATTTTCCATGGTGTGGTCTGTCCTGTTTCTACATAAACCACATAAATATAGTTACGACCAGTTGCTGATATCTAGATTCAAGAGCAAGACAGCGAGAAGCTAGAAAATCGTGAGGCAATAGGAACCCAGCCAATGGACCTAGGTCAACATTAGGAGCAGACGCGCAATTGGTCAAACAGGATTCACATCACAATCTAATGAGTTTGTATAAATAAGTTGATATTCTCAAGTTACAAGACAGAACCATAAAAAAATAAGACTTGCTATCAAGGCTGACAAAATCTACCTACTGACATCGGAAATTCAGCAAACAGCGTCTGAACGAATCCATTAATTCTAACTTGAACCCTTAATACGACTCTAGCCATAATTGAATCCGTGTCGCGCGATAACTATATTTCCATTACCGGAGACTGTATTATACGCTGTCACCGCAATCTTGTGTGTGTTAGTTGAGTGTCAACTAGGCTAACCAAGTGGATGACTTACTGTTCACCTTATAGACAGTTGTTATCATTACTGATGACAGCTACTGTTGTTGTCCATTATTCTACTAAAATGATTTATTACAGCTCTGAATACGTAGCATAATTATAAACTGATGATTAATTTTTCCTACGGGAAAACTAGTATTTTATTCACACGACCATCTTTATACTTATTCAAGTTACTTTCAATTAGTACAATCCTATTTACAATCAATCAATCAACAGAAACGTAGAACTTCGTACATACGCACGGACATCAGTTCATGGTGCCATACCACATTAGCACAGAAAAGCAACTGTCAGTTCAAATCCAATAGTAGTAAAGGTAGTAGAAGTATTAGCAGTAATCAGAGAGAGTAAGGTTCTAAGATATTATTCAATAAGTGGAATCTAATGAAATAAACTTAAAAACAGAAAGATAAAGTGATGAAGAACTCCGAAGGTTACGCGCAGGTGCGTCATCCACTCTTTGTGTCCTATGAAATTCTAACCTTCTGAATTCCTCATCCTCTCTATCTTTCTCCTTCTAAATTTATCTCACTGAATTGTACTTCTTGAATTAAATCTTCGTTCCCTAATCTTCTCCATTACTGCTAAAACTTCTATTATTGTTATCACTCTTGGATTTGAACTGACAGCTGCCTCACTGTGCTAATGTGGTATGGCAACCTGAATTGATGTACTTACGTACGAAGTTCTGTGTTGTATCAGTCTATCTGTCTGAAGGTTACGATTTGAGAGAACACAAAGAATGAATGCACCTGCGCCATTGTAAACAGTTTTGAGCCATGTCATTCATGATCTCTAACCATCGATAATTATCATCTCGCGGGCCCTAACCAGGTAATATACTAAGAGTAGTATACTAAGTAGTAGCATATTAAAAGTCGAAGTGTACACAGCAAAATATTTATTGGAAAAAAAATTTTTTCAATCAAATATTAATAATCAGACAGACAGACATTTCAATCGCTGTTGTTATTGTTTAAAATACGACAGAGAAAAAAAGACAAAGAACAGAAAACATCCACATTCTTTTGTTTTATATTACTTTCTACCGCTTCTTTCTTCTTCTTCTTCTATTGAATAGTTTAGTTTGTTTGTTTAAATTAAGATTTTAAAAGAAGTGTTTATCAAAAAAGAAAAAAAAAGAAATAGAATAGAATAGCTTGATAATTTTTTTTGTAAACCCCTAACAGACAATAATTACCAGACCAAGTTAACAGACAATTATCAGTCATAATGAATGGAAAAAAGTTTTTGTCCGATTTATGTTTCATGCATCTAGTTATCTAGTAGTAGTAGTAGCAGTAGTAGTACTAGTTGTAGCAATAAAAACGTTGCTAATCAATGAATCAACTATTTCGTTTGTTTTCTTTTCTTGTAGAAACTAACAATCACAAAAAAAAATTCACAGAAAAAAGAAATAATTTGCATTTTGTTCAAATACTACTCTATCGTATACCACATAATCAGATGAAAAAAAAGAAAATGGTGTTTGGACAACAAGAAAATAATATATATCGATAAATATCGTCAAAGTACCGATGAAAGAAAAACCTCCTATGAAGAGTGTGTTAATGATCGGTCACAAGCACATAGAGAATAGTGAACAAATTAATCGGAGTATTTATTCATCAAAGAAAAAAACATTAGAGAAATTGGAAGTGGGACGGAGATAGAGAGGGAGGGAGTAAGACTATGCTAAAGAAAAGAATACTAACAAACGAACACACATTCACAAATATAAATATAAATGGTAGATATTTTGAAAAAGAAAATAAAAAACAATTTTTTTCTTCATCAACAATAAGAAATGTTTGTTTTTTCTATAAAAAAAATTTAAGGCACACAATACACTTTTTTTTCTTCTATAGTTTTATAATTTAATTCCTGTCCCCCCAGAAGTCAATTTATTCATTGAGTGAAAGGCAAGAAACAAAAAGAGGAGGGTGCAATAATAATAATAAAAAAACGACTCCACCTTCAGGGTATACAAAACAAAACACAAAAAACTAAAATAGTTCGCACTGTCAATAAATAAACACACGTACACACACACACAAGGCATATTATAATAATGAATGTTGATTAAATTTCTTCTTCAAACAATCGTTGCCTTGCATTAGACATTCCACTTTGTGCAATCTTTTGATTGTTATGAAAGGAAAAAGAGAGAGAGAGAGAATAAAAAACTCAATCATTATGTGTGTGTATGCATTGATCAGATAATAAAAGTTAACTGCACAAAATCAATCTTTGTGACATTGAAAAGTAAACAATAATATGAAAGTATTTTATTATTGCACTTTATTATAGTTATTGAAAAAACTCATGTAAGTGAGTAGTAGTAGTAGTATCTTAGATAAAACTTGATTTCACTGTGCTAGCAACTTGCTTTCAAATAGATTTTTCTCAATGTTCTAATGATTGGCCATGATTTGCGGGTGGGCAACCAAGTGGATAGGTAAGTAATTATATGCTTTACTAACGATACCGGATGACGAGAATCACAGCTTATCAGAACAGAGGCAGAATGTGAAGTTATGCAGGTTTCCACTATGATAACGTTGTCGGGTTTAACTGAGTTTTGAGACGTGGTGATTGACGACTGCCGTTTAGATCCTATGTGTAGAAATCGGTATGTGTTCAATGTCCCCTACTATCTAATGATTATTCCTTAAAGATATCAGTTAGTTAATGATGCGAACCAACCATTGATTACATAATCTAATCTGACAATGTTACAAAATGATAATGACGATAACGATGATGATACAGTTACAAAAAAACAAAACAAGGACGGAGACATGGATTCTACGGATGAAGAAACACAAACCAAAAGAAGCGCACATATACCACACTCCTTCAAAGTAATCGAGAAATTCATGAAAATGAAATCAAGCATAATTTATCGATCTTTGCCAAGATCATGAAATCATCTCATATGTTCTCTATTCTTTGTTAATCTAACTTTTTCTACTACAGTTTATACTATCACTTATCTAGGATTATTTGTCTAGATAATCTAAGTTCATTGTACTAATATGTGATTTGATAACTTGAACTGATGAGATATACATATATATATATATATATATATATATATATATATATATACATATATATATATAATATGTATCTCAGAGTCCATGTCGCATATAACTAACCGATTTCACAGAATGTAATACAGTTTATTAACTTATAACCAGTCAATGAAACACTTTTCAAACAAACTCAAATAATAATACAATCTAACTAGACTACTTATATGGATTGAACAATAATTGATTTGTATCATACTTTAACGTTCAGCATTACACAGAATTAAAGTATAAACATGAATGATAATTTTCTCATTGAACAACAACAACAATATCACGCACATTGTGAGTAATATGAATAATTTTTTTTAAAAAAAAACAGTTCAATAGAAAGTACAAAAATAAATAAAATAAACTTACAAATTCATTTGCTTTGGAAATCAAATAATCACATGCTTGATCAACATTTTCTGGTGCACCTGTTACTAATACTGTATTACCATCTTCATTGGCGCTATTGATATTTCGTCTATTAGGGAATTCAATACGTACATTGTAGTCTCGCATAACTTTTTGAATAGCATTACCTCTAGTACCGATTAGTCGAGCATGTGTCTAAACATTTAAAAGCAGATAAAAAGTAAGGATGATAAGTGTCTACCAAGTGAATAATATCAAGGTTAGGGATGAGGTACTAAGCAAAGGAGACAAATCAGTTGATAAATTAGTGCATCTTCATCGACTTAGCTGTTACGTATGTCTAATTACCGTCTACCTTGACAAACAAAGTTTGCCAATATAGGAGTAGGTTGAGAGACAACCAATGGTGTTCAAACCAAGATATGCGGTATCAGTCCATGCAGATGATACTGACTGTTGGACTAAGTTGTAGGATTAGATGCATACTACCTGACCAAGGCTCATATGATCACTATGATCATGTGGCTGAAGACTTCGGGTGATATGGCTCCGCAATGGTATAAATCTTCCTCTCCATTTTGAACTCAAATAACATTCCACTGTGCCGTCTCCAAACTTTTTATTAATTCTCATTCTTTTTTTATAGTCATTCTTTCAAATTCTTAGATAATATATCTTGTCTTGCTAACGCAGTATAACAATCTCAGCCTACGAACATTTGTGTCCAACTCAATAGCAATGATAACTCATTGAACAGATTATTTGTTGATGTTTGCTTCCCAAACTTCTTATTCATATCGATTTGTTATTATCTTATAAGTACAGGAGAAAATATTTTACACGGAGCTTGTTATCATTTAAAAATTAGAGGAGATATTGCTAACATCAAACTATACATAAGAAAATGTCCATACAATAAGAGATTCGATCGTAATTCACATGCAATCCACTGATTGCTTTTGATCAACAATATATGCTTAGAAATGTGAACATTAGACAGTAAACACAATGATACAATACAATACAATACATATTTACCTCAACAGGAATGAATAAATTCTCAGTGACTTCAGCTAATAATTTATTAATCGTATTCTCCAGTTCCGATTTAGCTGCTGATACATGTTCTTGATAACCACGTAGAATAATTTTTGCTTGTTTCTCTTTAGATGGTTCAGTCAATGAAGATTCATCATGATTACTACTATCATGATTATTATCATTAGTGTTTTCTTCAACTGGAGGCTTTGAAACACCACAAAAAGTAATATCATCATTGACTTCAGTAGTATTGTCATTAGTCGATGTATTTTTCGGAACTGTTGACGGTTTCCCAACTACTGGATTACTACTAATACTAGTGTCTACACGCATGCCAACATTATGCTTAGAGCAGAGATCAACTCGCATACCAAGAATAATTGATAAAAATCTATGCGGAAATTCAACATAATCTTCATAACTTCGTGCAATTTTATCCGCTTTTATTAATTCACATTGTTGCAACCATTCAGTGAGTTCACCTTTCGCTGCTGCTACATTGCTTGGTGTACCACGTAAAAAGATATAATCGGAACCAGAAGCATGTTGAGGTGGTAGACGTATATTAACCTACAAAAAAAACCCAATAAAATCATTGAATATATAAGATTATATAATCTTTTTTTTCAAGAAAAACAACAGACCAACACTTTGCAATTGAACAATTCAAAAATGTAAATATAGTAATAGTGTAATGTAGAGTGTGTATCTACACGATTGCATTAAAGCTACACAATCTTATTATAATTAGAATTATAAAGTAATCTTTTAGATTACTTACTATTTATTTACTAAAATATTTTTTTAATAGAGAAAATTATCTACACAAAGATGAATGTTTGCTTTGAATCCTACTAATAATAGTATATGTAAATAGTTTCTCATGATGATATTCAATTTCACAGGCTTAAAACACTTCAATTGTGTTTGATCATAATAGTATGAACATTGAAAAAAGAAATAGAATGATTCAAATATCAGGTGATTGGAAAAGATCAGCAAAAAATTCTGGATCTAAAATTCGTGTGCGTTAACATTTGGTGGTGAATAGTACCATGGAAGCTTCAGGAAACCGAGCTTTCCTGTGATATTCAAACCAGATACATTATCACTGACCTATTTCTATTATGGCTGAATTCAGATCTTCCTAATAATTACATCAAGCTACCAGAAGAGAAAAAATTATGTAGTGTTAAGACTAGTGTTAAGACTAGAGGCCACATTGAAACTTGATGAATAAAATACTTTCATCATCAGAGATTAATATGACAGGATAAGCAGCTTATCTGATTCAGGTCAATATTTTCTGTGTATTAACTCATTATGAATTTTGACCAAAGTGTTAGATACAAACCTCGTTCAGTGTGACGTTTTAAGGTCAGTATTTTTAGTAGTCAATAAGTATAAACTCTATTCAATATAACAAATGTGATCCTTTGTACAGTGGGACATATCTTTATAATCCCTGTATCACGTGAACTATTAATTTCCCTCCTATATATGTCATATTAACTGAATAAACATTGGTGTATAAGCGATTGCACTTTTATCTAATAGCAGCGCAATTTTTTGGGAGTCAATAAATCTTCATTAACCATACGCTGTCTTATGGGAACTGCAATGATTATCGATTGTCATCAAGTAAACGACGTAAGACTGTGAACACAACGGAGTTGACACACGTATTAAGACACCAAGCAGAAATATAACAAAGACTAAACAAACATGACATTGGCAAACTGTTTAATGTAAATAAATCATATTCATCAAGATATAATGAAGAAGAATAAACGTACAGAATGCTTTTGTCTAATTTCCATAGCTTTAGATAAATTTTCTGTAGTTGTATTTGTTACTTGATCAGAAACATTACTATTATTAGTAGTATTATTCCGTTTATTACTATTATTACTATTATTGTTACCACGTAATGAACGACGTGATTGTTCACGAGCTGTTGCATCCGTGGTGGAAACAATTAAATTACGATGAAATTCCTGAGGAATAGGGAATGTTTCTTCAATTGGTAAAAGAGGTTTTATGCCTTCTTCAAATGCTTGATTAATACGTTCTTGTACTCCTGTTATCACAAGAATCCCAGAAACAGGATGAAATTCTGATGAAAAGAAAAAAAAGTTAAAAACAAAAACAAGAAATTGAGAATACAATTTTAGAGAGAAGAATAATCAATCAGTTTGATCAATGGTTGATTCGTGTATAATACTGTGAAAACTAAGCAGAAAAATAGAAAAATTAATGTATCGTTTATGCATCTATCATCTTTTATTGTTATTATTATTAATAGCATTAGTAGCAGTCTTTTGAGTCCCTGAATTTTCAAGTTGAAAATTTATAATCCAAGAATATATATATATATATATATTGGTCATCTGTTTTGTTCTAGCATGGAACGTTTTGGCACAGTACATGCACAAATCCGCTCAGAGGTCAAATAATATCATCATCGATAAGAAAAGTGGCATAACCTGTTGTGTGCTACTCACAACGAAGCTTATAAGTAATATGCACTAGATGAGCAGCAGAGTGCCACCATGAAGTTGCTGCAGAAGCGAAGAGTATTAGATCCGGATATATACCGTGATCACATTGTTTCGAAAAATAAAAGACAGCTTAGAATAACATGTGTTTTACAAAGAGCTGTTTAATGATGTACACATTTTAGTTAGTTAATTGTGTCTTCTACAGATAAAAATCGCTTGTCCCATCTGGTCTAATTGTTCTTCTGTTATTACAGTGAGAGTAATAACTCCAAAAGTGAATTATGCGAAAATGAAAAATTTGCTAACAAAATTGAACATAAGTGTCTTTATTGTCAGTTATATGCATATCTATGCATACTACAATAATACAAAGGAATATAGTTATTAGGATGAATTCCAGAATAATAATAATGATAATAATTGTCAGTCAGCCAGTCAGTTAAAACGTAGAACTACGTACATGAGTACATAAGTTTAGGTTGCCATACCACATCAGCACAGAGACTCAACTGTCAGTTCAAATCCAATAGTGGTAGCGATAGTAGAAGTATTAGCAGTAATGGAGAAGATTAGGTTTTGAAGATATGATTCAGTGAGATAACTTTAGAAAGAGAAAGATAGAGATGATGAGGAATTCAAAAGGTTAAAATTTGTTGTTGCTGTTGTTATCTCGATCGAGTTATAATTCGATTAGCACTAAGGGACTAGACAAATACAACACCGGTCACTACTGAGCGATTTGCCAATGTGGAATTTAAGTAGTATTCAACGTAGAATTATTATTTTTTAAAACAAGAGAGAAAAAGTGGCATGTTTTATTATTAATGTTCCACTGAGTAAAATCAAAAAGAGACAAAATTACCAAACTATTAACACTTACCTGATTGATTAGCTATTCTTTCATCGAATGTTGAATAATTGTCCAAGTCAAAATTATCAGTTGAACGACTAAATCTAATCTGTACTTTATATAATCGTTCAAGTTCCGGTAGATGCGATCGATTTCGCTCCAACACAGCAATTTGACTAGGATCATTAAATGGAAATTCTTGAACTATTTGTTCTTGTATATCTTTGATAATTTGTTGGAAAATTTGAGCTGCAGTCTATATTATGTTATTGATTAGAAGAGAAAATAACACGATATATATATATATATATATATATATATATATATATATATATTCGGACAAACAGTAACTATCACAATAACCATCACAGTGAGTATGGCTAAAAAATTAAATACACAAATTCGTACCTGAGTAAATGAATTAATTAATAAGTTATTCGTATTGATTACACAGTTCCGTTCCCAGAGTTTATACCGAAAAAAAGGGAGGTGTATTTAACTTCTATTGTCAAGTTGATTACCAACAATGCTTAAGACAATCACAACATAGTTTAAAAATAAGTTATTAATACCAAGAATAAAAAATAGCTTAAAGAAATTAACATCAAAGCTAAGAAGAAAAACTCTGGTTTGAATTATCTATGCTTGAATTTAATCTCAGGTAATTGATAAGTTACTACAACATTAACCCTATTTTATTCTTGAGTTGTCTATTCAGTTATTGTAACAAAAATCAAGGTTAAGCATTTGCTCGAGATACTAAATGTTATGGCCTTAATTCTTAGCGGTGGTGGAATCGTAGATACGTAACTGCTGAGGAGTCCCACACTGGTAGTATAACTAGATCAGTTTGTGATATAAACCATGAAATTGAGAAAATTTGTAGTTCAGGTGGATGATCGTGGTGGTGTCTCGTTCTCTGAGCTGGATGTTTTGGTTGTGGAGCTTTCATTGTTCTTCTGAACAACATCATTAGCACAAACAACGACAGGTTTAGGGTCAAGAGAAACCAATCAAGATCGAGTTTAAGCTACGGGTCAAACGTGGAGAAATTCGAATACTTCACTTCTAATATTTGAAGTTTGTGTTGATGATGTTGTTCAGAAAAACAATGAAAAAATTCTTTATAAATGTTTACTGTTCAAAATATCTACAGTATATGAACTAGAAAAACAATTGTACAATCTAATACCTATAAATAATATCTCTAAAGAAAAAAAACACACAAACACATACTTCAACACAAGCTTTAGAGCCAATTAATTTAATATACAAAGGCTCATGGGAATCTTCTGTTGAATTTTCTGTATTGGATTGTAGATAATTATTATTTTGACGGGGCATTATTATACGAACAGTTTCTAAATCGGGATTAGGGAAATTACGACGATACTGGTTGATTTCTTTCAATATAGATGGGTCAACTGGAAGTGATTTCTCTACTTCATCTTCCTATTAATATAAAAAAAAAGAAGAATTCAACAAACAATAATGAAAAGAAATAGCACATACACACACATACACTGATAAGATAATGGATTTGAACATGCTTATGAGCATTAGATACTTTTGATGAAGTGATAGTTGATTGGTTAGGAGATTCGATTAACAACCAAATTGGAAGTATATTCGATCTAGTACGTTTTGAGCAAATGGTAAGTGTCAATTGTGATTAAAAACCAAATACACGAATCCAGACATGGTAAATCAGTCATTAAAAAGAAATATGTTTTCAGTATCAGCTGCGACTTGTGTAAACACTCCAGTCTTATAGAAAGTTAATCACAATCGGATTAGTTCAATGGTATCGTTTCTTTGTCTGTGAAATTCAGTGTCATGAGTATGAATCAGTTTCTTCAAGATTGAAGATGCATCTTGTTGACAAGTGTGACAAGAAACACAAAATAAACTCTCTAATCTACGGTTACTTTTATCAACTCATTCTAATAGTTTAATATTAAATTCCGCAAACAATTAATAAACCAACTTAAAATTATCATTATTTCCGATCTGTAGAATTCGTCCATTTGTGATTAATATAAATAGAAGAAAAAGAAAGAAGTCGAACATCAGTCATTCCGTTAGCTAATTAGTTGATCTAGAAACTTTATTGACAACAATGATAATGATAAATTGAAGACATTATTCATATATTTATTTTTTTTTAGTTACAATGTCTCAGCCATACAACTGACCAATTGAAAATACTCTATCATAGCAAAATATTCAGTTGTTTAAACAGTTAAATCTTTGATGTAACAATAAAATAGTGGTGGTGGTGGTGGTCGGGCTTGCCTATTGTGATAACCCAACCGAGGTATATTGGATGGAACTCATGTTCCTGAAGGTTCTACCATGCCGGGCAGGTCGATTGGAGAACGATGAGACTAAAAGCAGCTACTCAGGGCGAAGTCGTACTGCTGACTGCAGAGTGGTGTGACAGTAGTAAGGTGTTTCCCTCGGACAACCAGCACCTGCAGCGATGCTTCCTTCTCACAAGGAAGGAAGTGCTAGAAATGGTCGACCTTAAAAATGTCACACCTCACCTTACCTTACGGATTACCGTGTCCGGCGATAAGGGCCGCCCAACAAGAGCTTTTAAAAAGAGCGGAGCTAATATCCCAAAAACCTCTCATAGAAAGGCCGTGCGTGACTGGCCTCAAGCAGTTGTCCCTTGGGCTCTGCGGTCACGCTCCTAGGTCTCCAAGACCGACACTAATCTACCATCCTTTTCAGGTTCCTCAAGAAATACCCTTCCACTGTGGGCAGCCGGGAAGTGACAACCAACCTCATACCCGTAACAGCACCCGAGATAAAATCGGTCACAAACAAATCCATCCTACACCCCCTAATATCCCTCTTATCTCCACGACTAACTCTTCTCACATTTCCTGCCCGTAGTAATAATAACAATAATAACAAAGAGAACAAAGTATATAAACAATTATTTCTAATTGACCTATATACATCAACTGTAATAGGTTGTTTTTTGCAGGGTAAAATTAAATTTCTAGTCTCTTTTTCATATGAAGATGATTGAAAATCAATTCATTCAGATTTCAAATGCCAATCACAACTGTCTTACACACAACAATTTTTTATAGTAAACATATCACGATGTATAGAATAGAGGAGAATAGATTGAATAGAGTACAATCTTGTCTACTATTCAACAATCTTCGAAATATTTTATATTGAAATTTTGAAAGAAGTGGTCATAAGATTCCCATTCCAATGAGTTCTAATCAATCAAGGATATCGAGAATTGAAAATTTTCAAAATACAAACTATAGTGTTATTGAGATCATGAATTAATGACCGTCATCGGAAACACCTGACGGCCGTTGAGTCCTAGTAAGGTACTCATGAAACGGTCGTTCAGTACTATCACGTTTCTAATAATGGTCTAACAATGATTAATTATTAATCTCAATGAAACTCAACAAACTTCATAAACTCTATGATGAATACTAAACTAGAATATCTTACATAGAATAAGTAAAGAGCTTACAACAATGCTTTATTTTTTGAAGTTATTTCAAATTAAATAAAAAAAAACCACTTTCTATTCAACAAATTAATTGCAAACGAAAAAATTAACAAGCATTGATATGCACACACAAAAAGAAGACAAAATAAATATCTACAATGGAAAAAAACACTTACCAAGGATTTTATCACAGTTTCTAAATCACGTTTTGCTTCTGAGACAGCCGATTTAGTACCAACTATTCGAATTTCACAAGCTAATTTTGGATCAGATTCAAAACGATCAGGAAAAACCAATTCCACATTATGTCGTCGACGAAACTGCGCGATATTCGATGCGTGTCGGCCTATAAGTATACCATGAAACCTAGGATTGGCATGAACAATTTCCTAACATTAAAAGAAAGAAAGCAATGAAAACCACACAAAAAAAGTCACCGGATATCATTGACAGGAGAAAAACAATTGAAAAAAGACACAGAGAGAGAAAGGAAGCAGATAGGGGGAAAAATAACTATTAATAGGAATTCGCAATTAAACCGGCCAGGAAAACAAACAACAATACACTTCAGATATCATACGCGAAAGAATACAAATACAGCTAGAGTAGACACAGTAGAACGAAAGAACACAAAAAAAAGAAACTCAATTATCAATTGTTGGATGATAGAAAATGACACTTTACAAAGAAAGAAATATCTAACACAATGAACGAAACAAACATATGCATCTCAAAACTAAGAAAAAACTTCTCACAACAACACATTGCAGAAGGAAAACAAGAATGACGACAAAAAAACGATGATCCAATGAAATTAGAGATAAACACTAAGCCGAGTTCGCACCGCCAACTATAAGCGAACCACGATAGTTTTTATCATAATCATAGGTGAAAACTGATCTCATAAATGGGAAACATGATTGGCAGTTTAGAACAATGTAAACATATACATAACATCCCTTTTCTAAATACTATGAAGACTACATACTGAAAAAGATACAATAAGGATGTGTAAAGTAACGTGAGTCAAAAGGCATGAACACTGATGAAAGACATGAGAAACACAATCCGTCAGCGTAAGAAAACATAAAAACCAAATCAACTACAGATGTAAGACAAGAATAAAACATCATAAGAAAACACAAAGAAAAACCTATTATAAGACGAAAATCATCAAAGAATCAACGACAAAATAATGAAATATACGAAACAAAAAACAGTCGGGAAAAAGCGCATGGGCTGACAAACACAATAACAACAATAATCAAGTCGATCACAATCGTATCATAACCAACAAAAAAAAAAGGAAAAGTAACCGAAAACAAGCATTCACATGTTTCGCACACGGTTTGTCAACACGATCACAGTCATCTATGACTAACGGTGAACATGGAATGTGTGCGAACGGGTAAGGCCGAAATCATATCAACTTCAGCACCCCAAAATAACATCAATTTAAGACAGTGGGTTGGCAGAAAGATCAATTACATCTCCTGCATTCAAAATACCCAGTCACAATTACACCGACATTGCACGATCGCTCGATCGACAATATCAAGGTGCATTGGCACTGTCTACTACTACTATCACATTACCATACTCATCTTATTCATTGTCACAAACACACAACTACTAATCTCATTCAAATTACATCTAATCCATACTAACTCAAAAACATCCACATACATCCTCCATTCAATTCATTCGAAGAAATACATTAACACATTCTCACTAACAAAAAACACCGACCACTACACAACTATCAACATCATCATTACAACCTATCCGACATTCAGATCAAAACACCCACAAACAAAATCAACTCAAAACAATCACATCCCTTTACCACTAAAAATCTCTCACACATCAACATCAACACCAACAACAACACATCTCAACTAATCTATCCAATCCACAAACAAACTAATCAAATCACTACAAAAACACACACAATATTCTCATTTATTTACATTCACTCTCAACAAACTCATCAGACAACATAACAACAACAATAATCAAGTCGATCACAATCGTATCATAACCAACAAAAAAAAAGGAAAAGTAACCGAAAACAAGCATTCACATGTTTCGCACACGGTTTGTCAACACGATCACAGTCATCTATGACTAACGGTGAACATGGAATGTGTGCGAACGGGTAAGGCCGAAATCATATCAACTTCAGCACCCCAAAATAACATCAATTTAAGACAGTGGGTTGACAGAAAGATCAATTACATCTCCTGCATTCAAAATACCCAGTCACAATTACACCGACATTGCACGATCGCTCGATCGACAATATCAAGGTGCATTGGCACTGTCTACTACTACTATCACATTACCATACTCATCTTATTCATTGTCACAAACACACAACTACTAATCTCATTCAAATTACATCTAATCCATACTAACTCAAAAACATCCACATACATCCTCCATTCAATTCATTCGAAGAAATACATTAACACATTCTCACTAACAAAAAACACCGACCACTACACAACTATCAACATCATCATTACAACCTATCCGACATTCAGATCAAAACACCCACAAACAAAATCAACTCAAAACAATCACATCCCTTTACCACTAAAAATCTCTCACACATCAACATCAACACCAACAACAACACATCTCAACTAATCTATCCAATCCACAAACAAACTAATCAAATCACTACAAAAACACACACAATATTCTCATTTATTTACATTCACTCTCAACAAACTCATCAGACAACATAACAACAACAATAATCAAGTCGATCACAATCGTATCATAACCAACAAAAAAAAAGGAAAAGTAACCGAAAACAAGCATTCACATGTTTCGCACACGGTTTGTCAACACGATCACAGTCATCTATGACTAACGGTGAACATGGAATGTGTGCGAACGGGTAAGGCCGAAATCATATCAACTTCAGCACCCCAAAATAACATCAATTTAAGACAGTGGGTTGGCAGAAAGATCAATTACATCTCCTGCATTCAAAATACCCAGTCACAATTACACCGACATTGCACGATCGCTCGATCGACAATATCAAGGTGCATTGGCACTGTCTACTACTACTATCACATTACCATACTCATCTTATTCATTGTCACAAACACACAACTACTAATCTCATTCAAATTACATCTAATCCATACTAACTCAAAAACATCCACATACATCCTCCATTCAATTCATTCGAAGAAATACATTAACACATTCTCACTAACAAAAAACACCGACCACTACACAACTATCAACATCATCATTACAACCTATCCGACATTCAGATCAAAACACCCACAAACAAAATCAACTCAAAACAATCACATCCCTTTACCACTAAAAATCTCTCACACATCAACATCAACACCAACAACAACACATCTCAACTAATCTATCCAATCCACAAACAAACTAATCAAATCACTACAAAAACACACACAATATTCTCATTTATTTACATTCACTCTCAACAAACTCATCAGACAACATAACAACAACAATAATCAAGTCGATCACAATCGTATCATAACCAACAAAAAAAAAGGAAAAGTAACCGAAAACAAGCATTCACATGTTTCGCACACGGTTTGTCAACACGATCACAGTCATCTATGACTAACGGTGAACATGGAATGTGTGCGAACGGGTAAGGCCGAAATCATATCAACTTCAGCACCCCAAAATAACATCAATTTAAGACAGTGGGTTGGCAGAAAGATCAATTACATCTCCTGCATTCAAAATACCCAGTCACAATTACACCGACATTGCACGATCGCTCGATCGACAATATCAAGGTGCATTGGCACTGTCTACTACTACTATCACATTACCATACTCATCTTATTCATTGTCACAAACACACAACTACTAATCTCATTCAAATTACATCTAATCCATACTAACTCAAAAACATCCACATACATCCTCCATTCAATTCATTCGAAGAAATACATTAACACATTCTCACTAACAAAAAACACCGACCACTACACAACTATCAACATCATCATTACAACCTATCCGACATTCAGATCAAAACACCCACAAACAAAATCAACTCAAAACAATCACATCCCTTTACCACTAAAAATCTCTCACACATCAACATCAACACCAACAACAACACATCTCAACTAATCTATCCAATCCACAAACAAACTAATCAAATCACTACAAAAACACACACAATATTCTCATTTATTTACATTCACTCTCAACAAACTCATCAGACAACATAACAACAACAATAATCAAGTCGATCACAATCGTATCATAACCAACAAAAAAAAAGGAAAAGTAACCGAAAACAAGCATTCACATGTTTCGCACACGGTTTGTCAACACGATCACAGTCATCTATGACTAACGGTGAACATGGAATGTGTGCGAACGGGTAAGGCCGAAATCATATCAACTTCAGCACCCCAAAATAACATCAATTTAAGACAGTGGGTTGACAGAAAGATCAATTACATCTCCTGCATTCAAAATACCCAGTCACAATTACACCGACATTGCACGATCGCTCGATCGACAATATCAAGGTGCATTGGCACTGTCTACTACTACTATCAATTCAAGACAGTGGGTGAAATTCTGAAGTCATTTTTAGGCAGTTGTCAAATTGCAACTAAGGCCACTCACGGTTCTTGGTGTAAACTATTTCAATTATATGGTATGCTGTTTTAATAATTATGTGATTTTCTATGATATTGTGTGACTCTCTATCTTGTCGATGTAAGCTTACCTCAGCACATAATTGTGATACTTTTGCGTTGAGTTGATCTAATAATTCACGTGCTTGATCAACTTCCTTTTCTGGTCCAAGTAAAATGATATCAATGTGACTTAATTTATTTGATTGTCCTTTAGTATGTTTATTAGTATTTGCAAATCTTATATGGACACCTTCACATTGTTCACAAATCGATCGTAAACTTGGTGCTTGATCACCAGCGAATTTAGTTGTTAATGCTGATGGTATAGAGACAATTACTTCTTTTACAGTAGCCTTTAAAATAATAATAATAATAATAATAATAATAACAATAATAATAGTACAAGCAGACAAAATAAGCAGATATACAAACTAGAAAATAAAGCTTATACAAATATGTCATGCTTGTATTAAACCATTCTACTTACTTTATTATTATCAGTTAGAATTCTGTCGGATTAAATTTCGGTGCCTTTTTTACCGGTGACCATTAACACATACATGATATAAACGCTTTAGAACGTTGAATGGAGAATTCATTTCTCTTTGCCAATAAGTTTCTGTTACATGTAATTACATACATACAAATATGAATTTTCCGAATACCGATGAACGACTCTTCAAAACATCCCGATTTGCATTAGTTGTTTGATTAAAGTATGTGGTGTAAAACTTTTAAGGCAAAAGTATATTTTAAACTATTTCCGTGACCTCATTTTTTTTTAATCTAAATACATTCTACAATTATTTAGCTTTACTAATGTAACTTGTGTGTGTATGTTCATGCTGATTTATTCAATTACGAATAACAAGTACAAATGGACAGAGTAACTGACAAATATGATCCCTTAACTCAATATACAGTACAAATAATACCAATAATAATCATGATAGACTATGGTGGATGATGAATGAGGATAAGATCGTTCATAAAATAATAAATAGTATACATAATCAAAACAACTAGATCGGTAATGTACATAGGATGCATATATGCATCCTACCAAGACTAGTCAATCAATCAATAACAACGTACAACGTCGTACGTACGCACCTACATCAGTTCAAGTTGCCATACCACATTAACACAGAGATATAATCGTCAATTCTAATCCTATAGTAGTAGAAATAGTAAAAGTATTAGCATTAGGGGTTCGAGGATATTATTCAAGAAGTAGAATGTAATGAAATAAACTTAAAAAGAAAAAGATAAAGGTGATGAGGAATTCAGACCAAGACTAGTCGGCATATCAGTGAAGGATATAAACATGATAATCCAGACCATTTCAAATTAAATTGAAACTTATAACCGTTGCACAAATGAGTGGCTATATGAACGCGGTAGCTAAGTGGATAGAGAGATGGTGTTTGAAGCGATCGGCATTGCTTTCGAGTCCCAGAGTGAACATCAAGTTTGGGATGCAGTTATATTCAGATGATGAGTCGCAAGTAGGAAGAAACGCGTGTAATACATTACATATCAATGATATATATATATATATATATATATATATATATAATATTCGGACTTTCTCAAAATAAAGAATGCCTTTATGGTGAAATAAATCAAGCAAACTCTTTGGTACAACAGACTTTTCATAAAACTGGGATTGTATTTCGATTCATAAAGCAATTTATTTGAAGTTTGGGAAGACAATCAATTTTTTCAACTTGATTATACTACAAGTGTTTTCGTGTCAGAAAATTGGATACAACCTACGGAATTAACACTTACTGTAGATAAATTCGTACGTAGCCATCAGGGCCGCCTGTTAAACAATACCAGAGAAAATGCCATATACATATGTGTCAAGTTTTAATGATTGAAATACATAAGATAAATTTAAAAAATTGAGGTATGATTAGAATGACAACTCTAAAGTACTATTTTTCTACTAGAACCGAAGCTTCAATAAGCATAAAATAATTCAATTTACAAAACACAATTAGCAGATAATTCTCCTTCAACATTGAATCTACATGGTAAGATTATGTAAGTATGAATGTTTGGAAAAATATGGTTAACAAACCAGTTTCTTTTGTAATTCTTCTAATTGTTCAATCGCCTTGTGTACATTTTCCTCTCGTCCAATTACAGTAAAAATATCAGGATCAGAACCAACATTAGGATTTTGCAGACGTGTTTGTGTATCTTCAAGAATTTTACGCACTCTTGGATATTCACGTCCAAGAAAACTAGATCGTATCTCTTTGAAAATGTGTATCTATAGATGAGAAGTAACAAATAAATGTTATATGTATACCATGTTTCAACTGGTTGCCAAACGTTGAGTAAATTGCGACTTGCATATCACACCAAAATGTATCATTGAAATAAAATTGCTGTTTTTTGAAAATGAACGGATCAAAAAGAAATATTTTTTACTGAAGTAAGAAACAAACAGTAGTGATGAACAAAATAGGTTGACAATTTACAAAATCGTTTAGTAAATCTTCGCTACCCATAAAAATGATGATTATAAGTATGAAATTGTTTCTTGTGAAATATCAAAAATAATTTTATGTGAGAAGAAAGATAACAAATTATCATAAAATAATTCTTAAATATTTTCAATTATTTAAGTAACTGAACAGGGTGAGTGGCTCATGTTTTTATACATTTTCCCTTGGAAGATTCAGTTACACAGTCGAACGCTGCTTTACCTATCTCACACTCTAACTTGTTCGAGAAAATTCGATAGAGGGAGGGATTAGATAAACATGACATTGATGATCATTTAGTAGTCAATCAGCGTGAATATTGAACAGATTGGCTAGTTGAATTAATACATCTAATGAAATAGCATTTTTATAGTTTAAGTAACGAAATGATCTTAGCTAGACCACTAACGAAAACCTAAAAGCACTAGACAGTTGATTTGTCATAGTATGAGACTCCTTAAAAGTGTGCATCCACGAACCCGCCGGATGGAATCGAACCCAAGACCTTCAAATTGTTAGTGAATGATTTCAGATAATAATACTGTTCAGTGAAAACTTTCAATAGAACGCGCAAAAATTAATATTTGACTTTACCTCTTGTCTATAGTTTTCCTCTTTCACTAATTTAATAAGTTTGTTTAACTTTTCACTTGCTGCATCAACTTGCTGACGATCACCTCGTAGTTGAACAATACTTTTAGTTGGATTCTCTTCAAACATGGATTCATTTGCCTCATTCTCAGGCCATATAATACGTACTTGAGGGAATGTTTCGTAAATGGTACGAATATAAGGAAAAGTTCCATTCACGCTTGAGCGTAACAAATTTTGAATATGTGGATCAATAATCACATCTTTGCATTTCTCATTTTCCTACAACGGTATAAACAGAGGAACAATTTTAATTTATTTTTTACGGAAAGAACGATTTGTAAATAATCGGATAAGATGTTAGTTGTTAAAAATAGCACTTAACGAGATACAGAAAACATGAAATCTTATTACATCGACTTTAATACATCAGATTTCAATGATGTATATTGAGAATAGACTTATAACGGTAAACTAGTAAGTTTAATTAGGATACAAAATCGAGCAGTGAACAAATACGTACAGAAAAATACACCAATGTATGACGAAATTACACAAAATATTTACATGTTTGTTTCATAAACACCATAATGAACTTTGCATGTATAGAATCCTTATATTTTCTCTTACCATGAAACTATCTTCATGGCACGTTCATCTTTCCTAATTCATGAAAAATTGTTATTGTTAGTGTCACAATAACATAGCATTGAATAACATTACATTTCTTATAATTCACATTATTTGTTAACATGATTTTACATAACATTCTACGTTATTCTTTTCTACTTTTTGTATCATATAACTATTGAAACTATTTGACTTACCTAGCCATGGTGAAACCCACCGTTTTTGACTTAGAAAACTGGCTAATTTTACCATAATTTCACAGTTAATATCATGAATTGACCTTACCTATGCCACTAATGAAAACTGGGAAGCACTGGAGAGCTGTTTCATTTTAGTAGGCCTTAATATGCAGACAATTAAGATGCAGAATATCAAGACGACTGTTTGTCGAAATATGCTTTGTCTATGATGCATTTTTCAAATATTTATATGAGTCATGAACTGATCGTATTTATCGCTTCTTAGAGAATAAGTACTACTGTTGTGGTAATGATTATTTGATTTTTGTACATGATACAGCACCTTTTCAATCGCTCTCTTACTCGTAAGATTTCTATTACATCCACTATAACTTTGTTCGCTAAGAGAACAATGATTACTATTATTTTTTTATTTTGTTCCCTAAAGTGATTACAGAATGAACGTTTGTCTATGCTTTGGTCAGCATGGAACAACAGAAAATATTACTCCACTTCGATTTAAAGATATACTAACCATTTATAATACTGACTATTTAATTATCGATTAGCTTCCATGAAAGTTTTATTTATGAAAATTAAAAACACTGCTCAAAATTTGAGTATACTGTCGCACCAGATGGCACTTCAATTTCACGTGTTAAAATTGCCTGGTTTAAATGATATGTGAACAGGTTGTAAGCACTTGATTACAAAAATCGTTAACAACTGGAAATTTCATTCAATATGGCTTAATATCAGTTGCGGTGGTGTATTATCACTCACTTTACATCCCATAATTTGATTTGTTTCTCTTGGATTTGTAATAGTTTAAAACAAGCGTCAACATCATTACTACTTTAGCATACGCGGTTGAATTTCGTAATTTTACACCACACGCTGATATCAGTTGGATAACCATTGAACAGTCTTCCTCCTAGTCTGAGACTTCTCGACAGTGTAGAATCACAACTGACTGTACTTCCAAAACTCAACCAATCATCTATTCAGCCTATAATCTTCAAGCCTTGAAGACAGTGTTTGAACCATTAAATCACTGAGTTAACATTGTGGTTTACATTTCTAATTTATATCGATTCCCACTATTCTGTTTACATTTTTGTTCCGCACCCGGTATGAATGAACTTGATTAGTTACGGTTTCTCATCATTGGAACTTTGGGAATCACTTCTTGAAGTTTATCATTAGTAGGCATATGATGATGGAGATCGCAGAATTTTGTAGTTTTATAATGGTTAGTCAATCAGCATCAATTGGTAATATAAAACTAAGCAAGTACTATTAGTGCTTTACCGGTCTACCTTCAGTGTATGGTTTCATCTGTGATATGAAACGTTTCAACTTGAACCAAACTATATTTATTTCATATCTCAAATTGTTTGAGCCATAGATAATTATTCTGAAATAACTTAACTTGATATACTAATCAACATAACTCATTCACGACATAATATGGTTAATTATAACCAAAAACATTCCATCGGAATAAGAATTTTCGTGGGCTTTTTTGTTGAAGTGAAACTAGTTTTTCAGATTGAATTTCTTTCATACTTCATGTCCTACATTGTTACCACTATTAAAAAATCCTTTCTTTACTGAAGTTTCGACGTATCAGTACATTATTTCAGTAGCCCTACTTTCCAAGAGCGCCGTACAGACATTTGTATGAAGTATGTATACCTATAGATATATTTTGAGAATCGCATAAAAACCATTGGTCAAAATTAGACTTTTGACATCTGAAAAAGCTGAAACCGAATACATTAAAGGTGAATATGTCTTGCACTTACGATATATGTATGAAGCTATATGGAGAGGAAAAATACTACTGAGATAAATAGGAATAGAACACATACCAGTCTCTCCACCAGTTGCTGGATTTCGAGTTTGGCCTTTTCAACTCCAGCTGGATCCCCTTCTATCACTATTTCATCAGAGAAAGAATCACCTCGATCCGAATCAGGAAGTCTAACACGTACTTTATAGTCACGCAAACGACCAATGGTAGCTCCCTGTTTGCCAATTATGTGTCTGTAGTACTTGGGATCCACTTTCACTGTAGCCATAGCAACAGTAGCTTGTAGTTCTGCTAAGCGACTTTTTAGGCGTTCAACAATAGCTTCAACTTCTTCACAAGGACCTTCAACAGAGATTCTATCGGTGTTATCTCCAAAATTTACCTGAACCTATACATGTGCAAAGCATATTAACAGGTCTAGTATAGAAACAACGATCAAGTAGATAAAAAAGCTTCGGGGCACTTCATGTCCGAAACAGGACTAATTGGAAAACTTTAGATTATTATTTGTAGATAACTTGTTTCAGAAAAAAAAATGTACAAGCTGATTATACTGTATACATGATATAACTAATCAACCGATTACAGGTTTATGCACCAGTATAAAGTTCGGAACCGGGAACTTATAGAATGGAAAACAAGCGCTTTTCGACTCCGGGACGTTGATTCACGATATGTTGAGAAAACCTGAGTTTAGATAATAGAAGTTTTAACAGTGGCTTTCTTAGTGCAAGTATTAACCATGCAAGACATTGAACAATTTCATCTAATCAATTCAAGATCGAGGCAATTGGAAAAGGAAAGGAAGACTACCATTTTAAAATAATACAATTTTATACTAATCTTACACTACATATAATTCATATTCTCATTCTCTACTTCAATACTGACAGTGTGACAAATGATTGCATCATGTCAACTGAAACTGAGATCATACTCTCAACAAGTTTTTTTTCTTCTTACATTCTTCACTAAGAGATCACATACTTTAAACATCCACCTAGGAGTTAAGTATTCATAAATAGAATGTTTATCGTTTTACTTATAAATGCCACACTGAGGACTTATCTAAGAGCGTCTAACAATAACCAAGTTTTATCACTATTTGCTCTTCTAAACCAAAGTGATGTGACCAGAAGATTACCAACTAGCTGAGTGTGAGCACTACCATACATCGTACTAGAGGTCTAAAAGTCGATTTATGGTAAACGAAGTGCACGTTCTTATGAATTTTCTGGTGAAATATATATGAAACTTACCCGTTTATATCCTTCCAGTAATTCTGTTAATTTAGAACCTCCTCTTCCAATTAAAAGTCTATGGAAGCGATTAGGTGCCTCAATTTCCTCTGTCATAGTGCTTTGAGCCCGTTCATAAACCATTGTAAGAGCACGTCCGAGATCTTCAGGTTTTCCTCGTAAAACAATCTCCTCATTCCCATCATCAAGTGGCAACTCGACTGAAACACCCGTTTGAGCTAAAATATCTGCGATTCCAGAACCGCGCTGACCAAATATAATACGATGTTGTGACCTAGCAACCTTAACAGTAATTGTCTTGGTAGTTTCAAGCTGAAAATATTAGATATAAAATTGTGGTCAAATTCGGGAATAATACTATTCATAATTAATTTGATGTTTGGACTGTCTTATATTTTTTAGTTCAGTGGCTACACAAAATGCTATGATGGGAAAATTCATCAGGAAGTTTTGATATAGAAAAGGATAATAACATGCATATCCCGAAAGGTGTGATATTACAAAGACTACATAAAATTTGATATACTGGATCAATATAATCTCATATGCTTAAAAATCCTTACTCGCTCATTATATATAGCCTGATTTCTTTGACCGCTTGTGCAACACCTTCGCGCTTGCCGGAAACTGTTATTTCATCGACTGATACATTTGGAGGAGGAATGTTGATCTTAGTATCAGTTCGAGACTTCAGATCATTTACAACCTGGTTGTTCCTACAAAGAAACACCTTGGTCAAAATCCATTCCTGATAAAGAAAGTAATTAATATAGACTTAAGGGCAACAAACAAAAGAATAATAAATTATCGGAGTCGAGAGCCGTTCAAATGCTTGTTGGGAGTGCTTGCGAACAATTTCATAAATCAAACTTTCTGCTTCTAAAATCCCTCTTCTGGGACCTGTGACAACGACGACATTGGGGTCGAGAGCATTGTGAGGTGGAATGCTAATCCGTGTCATCGTTGATGACTCGAGTTCTTGTAATCGCTCCCCTTTCCGACCAATCAAATAACCCCGACACTCAACAGGGACAGGAATTCGAACAGTTTCCTGAAAAAACATGATTAGGTTTGGTCAAAAATAATGGAAACTTAAATACGTGGTAACCAACAATGTGATCTTGTCAATATATATGTAGAATTAGAGTCCAGAAATACTCTTGTTATTGACAGTGTAAACTGGCGAGAAGTTAACGAACTTTCTGAGTCAATATTTTGTCAGTGACTAGTTTAACAGGAATGAGTAGACTACAAAAATAGGTGTAACTTTGCATCCTTAGCGACTTTACATATAGCCTTTTCGAAAAAATAATTTGGTTTCAGAAAAAACCCCAAACGAACTAGTTTTAGTGCTCAAGGGTTTTAGAATACAGCATTTTTTTATTTGATTTTTTTAAT